TCCTGTTGGAGATCATGCTCTGTTTATAAACTTTCATACCATGAAAACATGGAGGAGAGACTTTTTGGGTGCTAAAAGCATCTCTTTTGACCACACCTTTGCATAAACAAAGAGAATATACTGCCTGAATTTGGTTTTCCTGACATGCTGTTCTGTGTGAAAAAGTCTCCACGAAGTCGGTACCTATGGGATCGAGTTTAAAGCAGTTTGTATGGTTTTGACTGTAAGATTTATCTATCTTTGTGTTAAATATCCATGGTGAAACTTTGTAACCAAAATTCTGAAATGTTGTCCGAAATTTTTTTTGACGAAGCCTTTTTTTGCTAATGTATGTTGCTTTTGCTTGCCTCGTTTCTGTTCTGTTTTCCTAACTGGGCGTAGATTGAAAAAAGATGGGGGGGGGGGGTAAACGACCATTAATTCAAAAACCAAGCTAGGGCAAAAAATAGCAATTAAAGTGTGACCTAAAGAAAATTTCCAGATTTGCCCGACCGAAATACTGGCAGCCATAAATTTGCCCGGCAAAATCTGTTTTTTGAAGATTGGGAGGGGGTGCAGCACATCCACCCCATACACCCCAGCAGTTTCACCCCTGTTGTTATCTTACGCAAATTAATAATTGTTGTAAAACAGCGTTTTACTGAAGTACATTCTGCAGCAAAAACCCCCTTGGAATTACAGACAGATATTTTGGAATAAGGCCCCCATCTAATAAGAACTGATTCAACCTGAAAATTTGAATAGGTTCCTTTTTGCAGATTACTCGCAATTACATAACTATGAATTCTAAATGAAATTATGCGTAGAAAGAAATAACGAAGTATAATAACGACGTTTCGAGTACAGCCCGTTCTGAAGTGATTCTGTACGACACACAATCTAGGAAAACGCAAAATATGATGCAAAAAAAATGATTATCAATTGATTCAATTTTATAAATATAAAAAGATACGCTCGATTAAAAACTTAACCTGTCAAACTGAAATGCAACTATAACAATGTGAAATCTAGGTAAAGATCTAAGTAGGAAAAGCATAATCAATGGCTTTGAAAATACAAGAGAAATCTTGTCATTTTATTAAAACATATGCAGCTGATGACTGCATTTACTGTCATACTTAAAGTTGCCATCTTGAACCAAGGGGCAATTCACAATTGCAAGCAGTAAACGAAATCAAAAGGATTTTTTTCATTTCAGATAAAACAAAAGGATTTCAACCAAAGTTGTGCGATATTCCATATAGTGATTTTTCCCCACGATTCTTTGTCAGTGACGCCATACTTGTTTCAAAATCGGAACCCAAGAATGATTTTGTTTGCAAAGAAGACCAAGGCTATTCAGAGTTCTATAAAGTCAATAAATCATAAAGAAATCGCTTTGAGCCATTCCTACATCAAAACTATTCTCAATTATTCTTATTCTTAATTATTCCTGCCCTAAATTATTCTTAAGCCAAAATATGAACATTAAAAAGGGATTAAAATATGAACGTAGAATCCTGTTATCCTGTCAAGTGACAGACAAATGGTACGAAAGGTTCTCGTTAGGATGACATTTATTTTGAGCACATATTTGACCTTTAAACGATATAACAGCTATTTTAAGTTCAAGTCAAAACAACCCATGCTTCTAATATGTTTAATAGAAACTGACTAATAGAAACAGTCATTCTAAAAGAATAACAAAATATGTAAAGCTCAGCAGATTTCCACCGATCTGTCCTTTAAATGGTTTGCAGTTGCACTATGGGCAATAATATCTAACTGATTTTTAGAATTCGCTTTCAAAATGAATTTCTGTCCTTAAAGAGATTTTTATTGGGCTCAGGTTGCATATTTCTTTACATCCATATAGCATGGTATGATATGCTACTATGCCTAGAATCACTAAAATGTTTTTTCAGCAACTGCAATTTCGCAGGTATTAAACATGTTAGATACAAAATACAAATAACATATTCTTATTCTTAATTATTCCTACCCTAAATTATTCTTAAGTCAAAAATATGAACGATAAAAAGGGATTAAAAATATGAACGTAGAATCCTGTTATCCTGTCAAGTGACAGACAAATGGTACGAAAGGTTCTCGTTAGGACGACATTTATTTTGAGCATATATTTGACCTTTAAACGATATAACAGCTATTTTAAGTTCAAGTCAAAACAACTCATGCTTCTAATATGTTTAATAGAAACTGACTAATAGAAACAGTCATTCTAAAAGAATAGCAAAATATGTAAAGCTCAGCAGATTTCCACCGATCTGTCCTTTAAATGGTTTGCAGTTGCAGTATGAGCAATAATATCTAACTGATTTTTAGAACTAGCTTTCAAAATGAATTTCTGTCGTTAAAGAGATTTCTTTTATTGGGCTCAGGTTGCATATTTCTTTACATCCATATAGCATGGTGTGATATGCTACTATGCCTAGAATCACTAAAATGTTTTTTCAGCAACTGCAATTTCGCAGGTATTAAACATGTTATATACAAATTACAAATAAAATATTCTTATTCTTAATTATTCCTACCCTAACTTATTCTTAAGTCAAAAATATGCGCGATAAAAAGGGATTAAAAATATGAACGTAGAATCCTGTTATCCTGTCAAGTGACAGACAAATGGTACGACAGGTTCTCGTTAGGACGACATTTATTTTGAGCACATATTTGACCTTTAAACGATATAACAGCTATTTTAAGTTCAAGTCAAAACAACCCATGCTTCTAATATGTTTAATAGAAACTGACTTATAGAAACAGTCATTCTAAAAGAATAACAAAATATGTTAAGCTCAGCAGATTTCCACCGATCTGTCCTTTAAATGTTTGCAGTTGCAGTATGAGCAATAATATCTAACTGATTTTTAGAACTAGCTTTCAAAATGAATTTCTGTCCTTAAAGAGATTTTTATTGGGCTCAGGTTGCATATTTCTTTACATCCATATAGCATGGTGTGATATGCTACTATGCCTAGAATCACTAAACTGTTTTTTCAGCAACTGCAATTTCGCAGGTATTAAACATGTTATATACAAATTACAAATAAAATATTCTTATTCTTAATTATTCCTACCCTAACTTATTCTTAAGTCAAAAATATGCGCGATAAAAAGGGATTAAAAATATGAACGTAGAATCCTGTTATCCTGTCAAGTGACAGACAAATGGTACGACAGGTTCTCGTTAGGACGACATTTATTTTGAGCACATATTCACATATTTGACCTTTAAACGATATAACAGCTATTTTAAGTTCAAGTCAAAACAACCCATGCTTCTAATATGTTTAATAGAAACTGACTAATAGAAACAGTAATTCTAAAAGAATAACAAAATATGTAAAGCTCAGCAGATTTCCACCGATCTGTCCTTTAAATGGTTTGCAGTTGCAGTATGAGCAATAATATCTAACTGATTTTTAGAACCAGCTTTCAAAATGAATTTCTGTCCTTAAAAAGATTTTTATTGGGCTCAGGTTGCATATTTCTTTACATCCATATAGCATGGTGTGATATGCTACTATGCCCAGAACCACTAAACTGTTTTTTTCAGCAACTGCAATTTCGCAGGTACTAAACATGTTATATAAAAATAACAGCCTTATCAGACACTTCTTATAAAACGTTTGGATTCCCAAGGCTGCCCTCAGACATCCGCTTCGACCCTCGACAAGAAATTTTTCCAAAAGCCAGAAACCCCATTCACGTCTAGAATCAAGTTCACAATTCTCACGAATGTCACTTGAACAGTGTCAACCGAATGACTCTTTCGACAAGATAATCGTTTGATTCCTAGATAAGGCCATGTGATTCCTGGTGGTTTTATGAAAGAGTCTAGTTCAGGTCTTAGGAGAATGAAATGAACACTGTTTCCTTAAATTGGCAACTGCCTCAACCATAAGTAGGTGTCTATCCTTGAATAGGCACGAAACGCTTATTTGGATTTCAATGCCCTTTAAAAGATACATGTCTTAAGGGGAAAGAGTTGTTAAGGTGGTACAGAAGTATTCCGTTACTTCTCCGTATGAAACACAGATGCACCACGTCAATGGCTGCAAAAGTCGCCCTCGCAGTGCGTGTAACTAGACTGCCACAAGTCTCTATTAAAATAATGACACCCAAGACATAAAATGATATTTTTTTGTTGACTTCCATGTTTGCTGCGTTGCAACATTATTTTCATAGTTGATGTTTCCAACGTTACGCAACGAAATAGGAAAGCTATCCTTTTTTATTCAGCGACCACTAAAGTTGGGCAAGAGAAATTTTATAACCCGTTTTTCCTGACGCTTGCAGAAGGTAGCCTAAGCTTATTGCAACGACATCAATTGCTGGAGCATTAACGACAGACTTTGCTCCATTATCAGGCCTCAAAATTGACTGTGCGTTTACGTTTGTTTTGATAATATCTTAATAAATTATGCACCTGCTGGTCAAAAATTTCGCAATAAAATGTTGAGTTTGATGAATTCTTTGTTCTTAAATAAACAGAAGCGAGAAATTTAGCGAAAAAATAATTGAATCTTGATAAGTGTGACTGTCAAGGAAGCAAACGTTTTTTCGATTCGTCGAGGTTTCAACGTATGGAGATTTGGATCTGAGCAAAGTTTTGCCTCCAGCTAATGCTTTATAGAGTCAATCAAAAAAACAAAAACTATTTCGATTTATCAAAACAAAATAGAAGTCTGTTGAATTTTTCCGTCATTTACGACTGGCGTCCTTCTTTTTGTAAACACTCTCGCTACAAATTCGGATATCCTCTTCACGATTTGTCTGATATGACTGCTTCTTTCAGAATATTGACTGTGGTGGGATTGTACCTCAGTTGCATTTTGTATTTTTTTCCTGAAAATAATGTATCCGTAATTTTGGAGAGAAATTGCTATGGGAGGGATTAAAGAGGGGGAGAAGGACAAGAGGAGCAAGTAAGCAAGGGACTGAGAACGAAGAAGGTAAAGATGGCAAAGAAATTAGAAATTAGAGATAGAATCGAAAGGAAAAAGAAAGAAAAGAAAAAAGGGTATGTACTACTAAAATTAGTTCATTTGACTGTTTCAGTGAATAAAATTTTGACGAAATTATTCGCTCAACTATCATTGCACACTTTTTTTATAAAGAACCTAGCTCAAAGCCTAGTTCTTTAAGGGTAAAGTGTCATATTTTTGGGCCTCTGTTCGTCAAATTGAAGTACCAAAAGTTCCTTAATAGTTCAAAAAGTTATTGATTTTAAGGGTAAGTTTAGTGCCATGAAAATAGCAAACGCGCAAACATTGAATGTCTAAATTTTTCTATCAACCGTGGCCAAGTAAGATAAAAAATGCACTAAAGGTTAGAAGCAAGTTTAATGTATCTAAAAGAACAATGTCAATTATGAAGCTTTTTACTTGACATTGCATTCAAAAATGACATAGAAACAGGAAATTGCTCTTTTTGCAATTTTTCTAATGATAGTTTGGGCCTTTGTTGGAGAAGGGCGTTTTTTAAAGAGAGCACGTTTAATAGAATAAGCTTTTTTGTTTGGCATATATATAGTTAGGGATTAGGTTGCGCCATCATGTTGCTGCTTTTTCAATGGCACATGGAGTGGGAAAGCCATGATGGCCTAAGACCAGATACAATGAAAACATAAAGTAAGAGATGCTGGAAAACGAGGGCGGCACGTGAGAGGAACCAGTAGCTTGGCCTAGAGTTCCAATTTTCAGATGAAAAAAAATAATTCATAATCACCAACATCTTCAACTCTTCGCGCAAGGAGTACGTTTGTTCTCCTTCTCGAAGAAGTCTAGCAAACAAAGGTCGAACTAATTTTCTTTAAACGTACAATTCTTGCAAAACAGCATACGGGATGGGGTAAAAATAGGACCCAGATAAAGGCTTGGAAGTACAGATAGACTGAAGCGTTATCGAGTGGTTATACTGTCGAGGGCACTTCGTCACTGGCCTTGTGCCTAAAGCGCGTTCAAACAGAATCGTGGCATGAAAAATATTTATTTGTTTAACTAACATCAAGAAAGAAATTGACAAATCTGCTTAAATCCTATGCCCACAGTAACATTATTTTTCATGGAAGCTGAAGAAACAAGATCTCACAGGGTATTGTTTTTGTGCTATCTTTTTACATACATCTTTTTATTATTTTATACTGCCTATAAGAAACGAGTAGTGGACAGTCAGAAAAAATTGTGAAACTTCAGTACTCGAAGCAAAAAAATTAAGAAGCTATTGAATCGTGATAAAACTAAGAACAACGAAATTTTGTAATCCAAGAACAAGATTGTCCTGTTGGCCTAGGATTTAAGACACAATGGATAAAAATATACTTCCCACATCTAAATAAAGCATCAGAACGGAGGCGAATCTCTTGACGTAATAAAAAGGTCACAAACATTTCATAACATTATTCATGACATCATAATTAAGAAACTCTTAAGAAACAATAAGTATTGAAATTAAGAAACTGGAGTACTCGACCATCGACCTTTGTTTCTTATAAAAAATGAGTGTAGAGTTACATTCTTTATCAAAGTATTTATCCGTATGTTCCATGTATTTTGGAAACCAGCCATCTCTCGATAGTTTTTTATATGTATACCGTTTTTGACAAACTTCAAGAAACACTTATTTCCTTCAAATTCTTTTTGGCAAATATTTGTTTTATGGAAATTATAACGAAATCTCTTACAAAGAATCGCCATGAAAGACCTCCATTCATTGTTTGGTCTTGTGAACCCAATGCCCCTTTGTCTTACCAAGTTCAGGCATTGTAACAGTGCCACACTGTAACAGATGATAAGTTTGAAAAAAAATCTAAATTAATAAAAAAACAAACATTGTGATGAAAATCTATCTGTACTTTTGCTGATGAATGCGCACCAATAAGTCTGCAGTAACAAGAAGTAGAAGGCGGTAAGAAAGAGAGACTGGAATATATTTCAATGCGGAATAGTATTTTGAAATGCATAAACTACAAACTACAATGACTTTGAGTCAGAATTTATAAAGTTGTAGATGTCTTTCGGCTCTTTCCAGTGGTGGAAATTGTGGGGGTGTTGGGGGAGGGTGCGAGCGCCTCCAGCTTTTGCCAAATTGCCGGTTAAAAAACAGCTTTAGCTCTATTGTCGGTAAATTTGGCATTTGTCGGCAAATTTGCTTGTTTTTGTGGGTTTCGCTCCCCCCTCCACCTGAAAAATGAATTTCCGCTGGCTCTTGTTATCCTTAAATATCACCATGCAATGATTTAGCTTGTTATCACCACAAAAGTAAAAGCCCTTTTCCTGTTACATATCACACTGACCGTAGTCCATACAGAACTGTACTGTAAGACTTGATTGCCTTATTGGATTTTCACGATCGCTAATAAATTAACATAACTATTAACATAAACTAACTAATAGCTAATAAGTTAACATGAATTAACATTAACAAACAACAAACTATCAACCATAGATTCGTTTAAAGACTCTAGACCCCAGAGTCTAGATTTGTGTTTAATTTTGTACTTGCCAAGATATTTAATGACTTTGCACTTGGGGAAATATAGAAGATTTATCTGGAATATTGAGATTTTTAACTGACATATTACTACAAAATGAAAAGACTGCTGGATAAAAGTGAATTGAGGGCATCTTTTTCTTGGTCATAACTACATCAATATTATTAATTATTTGACTGCTTCAACCGGACCGAAAGGCGCGAAATATCTGGTTTTGGATACAGTCTTGTGCTGGCTACCATTAAGAGCATGTCAGTTTCTGTGAAAAATATAGTCGTTGAAATGGTTCCACTTTGTCTCTTCGCTTTCTGGATCGTACCCTGCACCACCGGCACAGCTAGAAATCAGCCTGAATCCATTTTCATACAAATGGTCAAAAGCTTTTTCCAGGTGACTGTGCTTCAAGAAAAATCTGTTAGTGTATCGAGCTTCATCACGATCTGGGTCGCGCGTTTCATTGAGCGACTCCGCAAAAACCTCTCTCGCTAATGCAACGTTGCCGCAAACGAGGATCCGCTGCAGTTTCCTGAATTTAACATCCGCGACACCGTCTCTGCCAAACGCGTAGCTTCCGCGCACGCACAGTGAAAGGTAGCCTGTAGTGGGTCTCTTGCCATCTTTTGTTTTTTTCGTGCTTCCAATTAGTTGTTTCAAAGCGCGGATAAGACCTGCAAGCTGGAAGTATTCCGCTTCTGCCAGCAATCGATCCTTCTCTTCGAAATTTTCGGGTAACGTCAAACGGCTATTGCGAAGATAATCCAGCACATAGCGAAAGAGAACGCCATCTCGGTCGATGAAAAACCGCCCTCGTGAATCGCGTAGAATCCGCTGGCGTCCACTAAAAAGAGCAGCCAAGAGCGACTCCGGGTCGCGCAACAGCGTCGTCAAGGACGTCGTATATAGCTGGCCGCCTACGTTGAGTTCGACGACGGCAGGAAGGCCAGGCTCTTGGTTGCTTGTTTTCCTTGACGACTGCATGGCGATGTTTGACAAGAGCATGAAATTCCAGCCACGCGCAAAGTGCCGCAGCTCCTTAAAGATGTTCGACAAGCTTCAATCGTGGTATTTACCCTAAGTTTCTTTGTAGCAACAGTGTAAACAAAGTTCAACATATATGGAGTATTTATGCGGTAGAGTGATCTGGCTATTGAACCAGGAATGTTTCTGGTGATTAACTTACTTGAAAATTAACGCAAACAGGTTTGATCATCCCCAATGCAGCTGCAATTATCCTGAAGTTAAACCCAAGCACTAAGAATTAATCCTTTAAAATCTGCATTAACATTAACCAACGTTGTTGTAACATCACTTGTTAAATCCGCTCATCGATTCACCAAGCATTTGGCGTGATCCGGCAAGAAAGCAGTTTGATGTGCAGGTTTTAAGACTGCAGACACTCTTGGTGAAGTGGCGAACAAGAAGATTTCACACGAAAGCGAAAAGAGCAGGTACCGAACGACGTCCGCGTCTTACAGCAAACACGAGTGTGTTATTGTTTGATCTGAATTATTGTCATAGGAAAACTTCAGCGCTCAATTTAAATCATAGAACACCAGTACTTCGGCAGCTGACCAATCCAAGCACTAAACAAAATCAGGGGGCAAATGCGTTAAAATAACGTCAATTAGCAGTATTTTATAAATATTCATGGCTCTAGTGATAATTAATACGTCGTAGAAGAGTAACTTTCGCCATAAAAAAGTAATTTCAAAAAAGGATTAAGAATTCAAAACTTTCAATCCTATAGAACAGTGATGCTCGTAACTAGCTCATTTGTGAATTTCAGGAATGAAAACGCATGTTTCCTGTTCCAGCTTATTTTCGCTGAATCCTGCTTGCTTGTTGCTAGTCTAAAATTCCACAACAAGTCAAATATGTAAATATGTATTTTCCAAAGTGATGAATTAAAATTCAACAGTTTTTGCTGTGCAACGCATTACTGTGCCATGAATATTCTTTATGGCATTTTCGAATGTGTTTGAGAATCCATTTGGACGTTTGATATTTGGTTACACCCAGTGAATGGCCTTAATGTTGTTGTAGAAGCTAGTAAACAGGTGATGTGACAAACACTTTGTAGTTCCACAAAAAGGAGCTAAATACAATCAATTTTTTATTTCAGTCGATCTTGCATTTCAAGATTATTCCCATGCCATACAGATTTTGAAACGGATTTTTACATTTTATATAAGGATTTATTTTGGGGCTACATGCCATCAGGCCGTCCACTTCCGCAGTCACTGGAATAGCTTAAACTGATTATAAGAGTGCTATTTTATTGTGTTATAAATCAAATATTTGAATTCTTATAAAGAATGTTGAATTCTTTTGCATTGTTGTTTTTCTCTTTTGTCACAATTTTGAGCCTGATTGTAAACTTATAGCTCGATGAGCAGACTTTGATATTGCAAATAGAGAACAATCAAACAAAGGAGCTTGAAGTGATATGCTCACAGCCCATGCGTAGAGCGTTGTCTTGAAAATAATGTCCTTTTGTTTTTGCTGCATCTGCTCCAGGTTTTAAATGCGTAGATAAGATAAGCCAAGGTTTGCATGAGCGGTCGTTGTGGGCGTTCGGAAGATTCTTACTTCTTGTGTTGCGTTGAGCATTTCTCGAGCTACCTTATTTAAAAATGTCATTTATTAATTTTAAATTCGTACATCAGGAATCAAAACGCAAGGAACTGGTTTATACCGACATGTTTATAAGTTGAAATTTAATCAATTAGATTAGCTTTTCAATACTGATTAACAATTTTAACTCTGATTAACTAACTTAGTCAAAGCTAAATGGTGTTGCATTTTAAAGGGGCACATGTGACAGTTACTAAAAGAAAATTAAACATTCTTACGCATGCGTAACAGAACAGAAATCCAGGCTTTACCGCTTATCAAATTTACGCTACACTTTTATATTGGCTCAGCCAACTGTTCAAATGTGAAACCAAGTTCGAGATCAGCACTAAGTTTCTTGAAGGTCTAGTTCAATCGAGCGCATAAGGATTGTACTAGAATCGAGTGCTTCGAAACGTTATTGTAACAAAACTTGATGATTATGGATTCAGCCATGAAGCACTGTGTCTCGTTAATAGCTTTTTAGAAAATAGACAACATAGAAGATTAATGGATCATTCCGTAGCAAAAATAACTGTTCCTTTATGTTCCACAATGATCAGTTCTTGGTCCACTGTTATTTAACATCTATATAAATGATTTGTCGTTATCTTAAATGGGTATGGATATTTGCAATTACGCAAGTGGTGCATCCATATATTGCGAGGCTAGAAAACGATTCAAGTAAAATTATCCAATGGTTCGCTGATAACTTCATGAAGTTGAATACAAACAAAAGTCATTTACTTGGCAGATTCTTGGCAGAAATTCTAATCAGGAGATCGTAGCAATGAAAGAGTTTCTGTGATAGCAAATTTGAAAGATAAATCGCTATAAGGCTTTGGGATAGACTGAAATGTGAGACACAGACCAGTGAGTTCTGTAGGAAGGCTGGTGACAAACTCTTCGCCCTCGCTCACATTTCTGGATACAAACACTCTAATAAATTAAGAATCTTAAAAAGAGCCCTTTTTATAAGCCAGTTTGTTTGTTTATTTGTTTGTAACCTTATTTTAAATCGAATATATATAATTTTAAGCTACAATATCGTAACTTGTCTAATTCGATTATCTACAAAATATACATATTATATCAAACAATTTTTAATAGTTTTTAAATACAAATTTACAATAAAATCATTACGTTTTGTATGTATGTACAGGTTGCCCCGTCCCAGTTTTTGATTAATCTTTTGAATTGGATCAGATTTTCTGCAAATTTTATTTTCTGTGGTAAGCCATTCCAAATTTGTGGTCCGAGAAACCAATTTAAATATTGTACATTAGTATGTTCCACAAATAATAAGATTAATAGAATCCATGAAAGAGCCCTGAGTATCGCATACAAGAATTATGAATCTGGCTTCAACACCCAAATAAAACATCGGCATAAAACATCAACCACAATTGTCGGATAAAACTATTTTTCGCTTGACCCCCATGTTTTACGATGTTTTACGATGTTTTACGATGTTTTACGATGTTTTGCAAATCTGCTTTCCAACAAACAATTTGTAAAACATATTTTTTGTTCTCATGTTTAATCGACAATATTGCATTCGTTCGGCCGCCCCTCCTTAAAACGTTTGTTTTACTCCCGCAAGCGCAAGAGGTTCAAATTCGGTAACTACAAAGCAGTAACTGTAGGAAGCTGTGCAGCAGCGCTTGACCATCACAGATGTTTTGACATTTGTTTGGTTCGTTTGACCAGGTCATAAAACATCGTTCAACACTGTTGGGTAATGTTTTTACAGATGTTTTATTCGTTTAGCCAGGCATATTTTACCCCGAAATTATAAAGTAAATGTTCCCTTGTTTAATTTTCTAACGACTGAACCCGACTTTTCACACCAATTTCCTAACCCAATGGCAACTGTGACAGCTCTAATTAAGATTTGACAGTAATTGTCGTAGCCTAACATCAACCTTTAACTACCATTTTGGGTACAAAGGAATTTTCTGTCAATAATGGATGACTATAACAATATTGTGAGAATGCAGTAAAGATGTTTACAATGCCAATGAATTTTCACGTCACAATTGACATGTAATTTTCTGCTGCAATCTTCATTTTTAGACGCATTTATCACCACCAAAGACAATGTTATGCGAGGGCGTCAAAACCCCCTTCGAAAATATTCTGTTTCAAAAAGAGCACTTGTTTTCACTTACAGATGATTTGTCGGTGAATTTTAAAAGTTGTCGGAATATAAAAGATGGCTAACTCATTTTATCGGCAAATTTGACCTGGATCTCTTCATGAGTACAATAGCTAGCGACAACCCGGTAAGAACGAGATCTTCTTTTCTGGATTAATATTCAACAAATTTCTTGAGAAAGTAACATTTCGATTGTTTTTGGTTTAGAGCATTTAAGCAGACATTTGCTCGACATTTAGAAAAATAACTGGAAAATGTTGGGCTTACAACGAGGCCCGAAAGACTCAAAATATGCTTTGTATAGAAAATCTGAAAATACAAACATGAAGGATCCACTGAAACGACTTTATTCACATAAATAAAAAAGAAACTGTTGAATCATTTATCGCATATTTTGGAAAATTCATAAACAGCATTAGAATAAGCCTGAAAAGACGTTGTTGGTCTGCAATGCTGGATTTATATCGACATTTTTCTAACCAAAATTTAGAATAAGGTTATTGTAATCCTGATTGGCCTACCGATATATTTTAGGATACAAATATTTTTCTTATTGATTATATTAAGTTATGACTCACAACGTTGTATTTTCAAATTATTTGAATGTAAATATTTCCGTTTTGTCGTAGATATTGATTCAAAGAAAGGCCTGTTATGATTTTAGGTAATCGTTTCTTTGACAACAAAATATTTGCTAACTTGCAAGCATCATGACAAATTAAAGCTGAAGCTGTCGTTTATGGCAAAAAATTATGAATTTTTTATTACAATGGAGCTGACGCAAATAACAACCAGATTGAAAATTTGAAAAATTTCAAACTGTTGAAATTCATCTTAGTTTCTAACTGACATATAATCTATCGAAGACCAGGCACATGCGTGATGGCATCTCACAATCTCCTTGCTACCCAACTGCTGCATTTAAAATGACAAAATGAAACAAAAGAATATTTTTCAGTTACTAGACCATTTGAATTACGGATATACTAACTACTAAAAACTGACTTGAAAATAAAGCTGAAATGACTTTTGCAAAATTGGCCTATTCTACCTAACACCATCCACTATTTACTTACATTAGTTCTTCATTACTCTGAATATAAAGGTGAACACTCCTGGTATGCTAGTTCTTCAAAGAATGATGTTCTTGAGCCAAGCAAGTGGTTACTCAAAACGCTAAAAAAGCGGCTCTAACTTTCTGAGAGTCATTCACACCAAAACTAGTATCTTGACTGTGAAACTTCAGACTAATTACATTTGCAGAGAACTGAGTTTGCATCGAAATTTTCATTAAAAAAGGGATTTGCAATTCATCTGCCGGAAAACCAGATCCAAAATTCTCACAAAATCAGGAGCTTATGACGCGGGGTCTGTAAACCGTTATGATAAAACCACCTGCCTATTGATGCTACATAGCTACGCGGTAAATAACCGAATTATAGACTGATCTTGTCAACTGAGGCACAATTGAATGTTAGTCATGCAAATTAATTTGACTCAAATTTTGACTTTTTGAGACCATTTTGCTTTAATTGTTCTTTGTACCACGATAAGATTGTTGACAAGACGTATATTAAACAAACGAGCACAACTGCAATGACATTGAGAAAAATAATTTCGATGAAAAAGAGCGATTATGTTTTACAATTACAGATGGAAGAGACCTACATCCTAGTTATTGATGCCAAGTACCAGGGAAATTTCTGTAATGAATTCCGAGATAAAATGGCCAAAATCTTTGAAAAGCACCTGAATGGGTTTGAAGGTTGAGATATTCTAATATCAAAAGTGGAAGACGGAAAAAATGGATGACAAAAGAAGAATCAATATAGAAGTTGAGAGAAGAAGATAAAGAAAGACTTAAGAGAAAGAAGAAGAAAGAAAAAGGATACAAAAGATGAAGAGGAAAGAAGAAGAAGAAAGAAGATGAGGGGGAAAGAAGAAGAAGAAGAAAGAAGATGAGGGGGAAAGAAGAATGCGATAAGAGAAGAAGAAAGGAGAAAAAAGAACAAGAAGACACAAAAGGAAACAGACAGAAGAAAAACAAAAGAAGAGAGGGACAAGAGACAACGTTTCAAACTGTTAATATTGATAAAACGCGCGGCTGACAGATAGCTGAACAGTAACAAGTCGTTACAAATGACTTGGAAAATTCTGATAACTACCGTAAATCCTCGAATTGCCACCCCTCGAAAAAGCCCCCCCCCCTCGAATAAGCCCCCACTCTAGAACTACAAATTGTCAATAAGCCCCCCCCCTCGAATAAGCCCCCACTGCTACTGTAAATTCTCGAATTGACCCCTCCATTTGACGATTTTTGCTATCTGAGGTTGCCTATGGCGTTTTATTGAATTACCACAACAAATTCATATTTTTGGTAAGAATTAATTAAATGCTCATAAAGAAATTCCTACTATAATAAACGAGGTCTTTTAATAATGTCTTCTTAATGTCTACAATAATTTTATAAGGCCCCCCTTGTATAAGCCCCCCCTCGAATAAAACCCCATCCAAAAATATCAAAAATAAATAAGCCCCAGGGGGCTAATTCGAGGATTTGGGGTATATATTTTTTAAGGAGTAGAAGGATATGATATCGGATAACTTCATACATGCTAAAGTATTGTTTTTGATTATTTCAGCGTTGTATTTGACTGAACCTGACAATGTTGTTTGGCTGAACCACTCTGTAATGTATCTAATTTGCAATCGATCTATATGTCATCATCGTAGTATCGTGTTTGCTTTGTACTGTTATCGATATGCTTTGTACTCTGTCGGTATTTGGTTTGTAGATTCATTGAAATCAGATTCATGTGTAAATGTCAACCAGATTCAGGTAATAGAGTCGTCACACAGTCGTGGTACAAGCGTACAAATTAATGTCTTCTATTAGCGTACATGCTAAAAATTATTAGCAATGGTGAAGATCCGGACTAAGGAAGATAGATTGAGGTAGAAGAAAAGAAGAAGAGAGAAGAAGAAGAAAATTAAAAGAGGAAGAAGAACAGAGAACAAGAAAGAACAAGAAGAAAAGAAGAAAAAGAAGAAAAAGAAGAAAAAGAAGAAAAAGAAGAAAAAGAAGAAAACAAGAAGAAAAAGAAGAAAAAGAAGTGAAAAAGGAGAAAAAGAAGAAAACAAGAAGAAAAAGAGAATAGATGGAGAAGATAGAATTTGACGACATAGAGAAAGAAAACGACAGAAAAACAAGACGACAAAAGAAGAACACGCAAGAAGAAATATTTAAGACTCAAGTTGAGAGAAAACATCAAATTACTGCACAGAAGGCATTGTAGTGACACTTTTCTGACTGTAATCATGTCTTCAATTCTAACACTGGCATTTAGACCTCGTATTGTCTTGTATCTACAGCCAGAAGCAAATGCAACTGTCACACAACGATGTCTCTTACTGACTCCACATTTTCTAAACGTTACGATATTGTTGCTTCATGATACGAATGCAAGTAAGATACGTTGGAATGTTCATAAAAGGTTAATCGTTCTTTGATTACTAGCCTCCAGTAAATCAGGACGTTTTTTTTGCCTTCGACGACATGGAAAGAAACACCAAAGACAAGTTTTGGGAGAACTTTTCCACTTTTTCCAGCACCTGTGGAAAACCCTGCGGAGAAGATAAGTACTTTGAACCTAATATGCCAGGACGAAGAGCCAGGGTTCTTCCTAGAAGGATAGCAAGGTAGGTCGACAAACCCGGAAACAGTTGTGAGGGACGACAGTTTCTCAGCTAGTAGTGATGGCCTGAAGAGAGTTCAGCTGGCCAACCCAAGTTATTTAGAAACTGGTGTTTTGGGGCTGTAGAGCAAAAGGTTATTTATCAAAACACCTTAGAAGAATATGTTGCTCCTCGTTTCGACAAACATTGGTTAGAATACGTAGCCCCTGTAAGCGTAAAATGTAACAATGATTATCATGTCATTGTGCGCAACTCATTGATAATCTCATCAATCCTTATGCTTTGCAGGTAATAAAAACCTGAAGAAATGTAAAAAGTAGCCTGTGGACTTTGCAAGGCATTGCAAAAGATTATAGTAAGGAATGCACAGGTTACTCCTGCAATGAAAATATATTTTTATCTGCCTGTTGTGTAGCTGCTGTTAGTGCAGCATAGACAGGTTGCTGGATGCTGCGCCTGGAGAGGTTGTTAGATGCCGCGCCTGGAGAGGTCGCTAGATGTCGCGCCTGGACAGGTTGCTAGATGCCGCATAGCAAGGTAGATAGATGCCGCGCATAGACAGGTTGCTAGATGTTGCGCCTGGACAGGTTGCTAAATTTCGCGCATAGACAGGTTGCTAAATGCCACAGAGCAAGGTTGCTAGATGCCGCATAGCAAGGTTGCTAGATGTCGCGCCTTGACAGGTTGCTAGATGCCACAGAGCAAGGTTGCTAGATGCTGCATAGCAAGGTTGCTAGATGCCGCGCATAGACAGGTTGCTAGATTGTTAGACGTCGCGCATATATCGATGTCGCAAAATGAGTTTGATCGATGTCACATAGCTAGGTTGCTAGATGCCGCGCATAGACAGGTTGCTAGATTGCCAGATGCCGCGCACAAATGGATGTCGCAAATGAGTTTGAACGATGTCACATAGCTAGGTTGCTAGATGTTGCTTAGTCTGATAATCATGAAAATCGGAGGGAAACTAAAGCTTCTTATTGCTAAAAATTGTGAAAATAGAAAAAAAGGCCAGTTCAACCAATATTTTGAAAAATGTCACGTGAAGTTTAAAACTTGCTGAAACAAACATCCCAAGTACCGTATTATCTCTAATGAGCGCCGGGGGCGTTCATTTGATTTTTTACCTTGCTTCATTCAAAAACTTGCATCGCTCTTGTATTAAAAATACAATCCTCAAGAGGCCCAAAGACTCCCCCGCATTGCACATAAACTAGTATAGCGGATACACAGAAACGCGAGGATGCGTGGCACAAGGGCGAATAACGAATAGCAAACAATAAATTAACGAATAGCAAATTAGTGAATAATAATAACAAACTCATGCGAATCAGTTCAAGGTCCAATTCCTCTCGTAAATTTGACTCTTACTAAATTTCATTTCAACCATCTTGAATTTTCCCAATTGAAATTTTTGTTAACATGTTTCAACTCAAGACAATTTTAATATGTCTCCCATTACATACATTTGGCGCCCCTTGGAGAGGGGCGGTGATCCGAATTTTGCTTATTGGAGAAGCGCGCCCTCTAAAGAGGGGGCACCTTTTAGAGAAATTACGGTATTTCAATTGAAGTATTTTGTTAAAATCTAATGTATTGCCACCAGTTATCGAAAATCAGTCTAATTGTAAATCAACGCTGACTGCCTAAACGAATTTTGAACTCAATAACACGAGTTTCTTTGTTACCAAATTGCCCTAGGATGTAATAAATTATTGGCCTAAAGGTGATCTTGTCAGCTTAGCACAACTTTGTTAACACATTAAAGAAGCGATTAAGTCCTACAAAACAACAATTTCATCACACATTTGAAAGGCAAGTGAAAAACGAATTTGTTATGGTTGTGAGCAGATGGTTCTTTGTAATGAATTTGAAGATTGACTTAAAAATCATGAACGTATGACAATCAAAATGCAGCGTATTTGTTCCTTTGACCTAATGTTGAGCGTTACATAGTTGTCTGTCAAAATCGCTGTTATTGAAGCGAAAACAACTAAAAATGTTGTTATTCACCTTGAATTTGATCTACTTTGGTGAAAACAGTTTCATTAAATGGATTGTATAGAACAAGTTGCACTTCTTACAAAAACCTAAGCCGCACATTTATACATTATAGTAAACTTAGAATTATGCAAACGGGCCATTTATTTGTTAGATTTCATCTTTATCATCTCAAAGCTTTCTTTGCAAATAAGGATATTAAAGTAGTGAATGCTGCCTCAGAAGTATGCAGACAAGCAATGGATGCCGCTTTCGAAGGCGAAGCCGCATTTTGCATTGCGTTTTCTTTTCTCGTGGTGAAGAGTGAAATCTCGCTTGCGTGCACATCATCCCTTTTTCAAACAGGATATCATAAATCAAAGACATTTTAATGAACAGTCTAGTTTGCGAATAGTTTATGATTGCTGAATTTCGAGACACAACATTTGCTTCTTACGAAACATTATACTTTTAGAATGAAAAACGCCTTAGCAAAATTTGGCATGATGATGATAACAAACAATCACTGCATTCACTTCTTGAAAAAATCTTTTGACATCATAAAAACTCGAAATGTCAGGGGAAACTGGTGGAACCTGCGGGTCCATTATTAATCTTCGCTGCATTACTCAAGACTTAATTCTTAAATTTTTAATGGTGGTTAATATTCTGGATGATTCTACGGGAGCTTAAAAGCTCAAAAAGGATAACATTATTAATTAAGAGTCCATCTGGTCTTACTCAAGTTTATTGAGGGATTCTGTCAAAGTCTTGGAAGATTCACATAGGAACTGCAATCGCTCGTCTTCAACAGCAGGAACCTCAGCTGATGAATTTCCACGATCCACAGAACACAACCAAAAGCTCACATTTACCATAAGAAATTAAAATCTAGCTGACTTTTAGAAGCAAAATACAGCTTAATGTGTTTTGATGACTTTTAGCACATTAAAGGTTTTGTTAAAAACATATTTGAATTGAGTTGCAAAAACGAGTCGAGACTTTAAACTTCAAACTAATTATGTCATATGATTTACAACCTTTTGCTGAAATTGATAAAATTATCATTTCTCGACATTTCTATGGTGGCCCAACGTTATCATTGAAAATTCAAACGTATTATCGAAAAAATTACTTTTAAATTAATAGTTTTTATTTGCAAAGTTTTTCATAGACATTGTTTTTTAATTACCAGAAATATTTTTTGAAATAATTTTTAAAATTTTTAAAAACCAACTTCGAAAATTGTTTTCGAAATTTTGGATTGCTTTGAAATCGTCTGACTTTAAGGTACTCTACCACTCAGAGATGTGAACTTTGTTGTTTTGCAAGCTATTGACTCACAAATTTACAGACATATGTAGTTTTACATTGGGAATTCAAATTTGGTATTGGTTTTTGGGTGTGGCTCATCGTTACCATGGAAACCTACAAACAATAGAAATTTTATTCTTTCTGTTAGGCTATGCCTCATTTTGCTCAAGAACTTTTGGTTCACATAAAACTCATATTGACACATTCCTTATTAGCTGGTTAGTGCAACAATGTCATTTTTTTCTGATTTTCTGACATTTAATTGGTTTGAAAGCAACTTAAACTCAGGCGTCTCAAAATTTCATCATGACATTATTCTTATAGACCATGTTTTGAAAGTTCATTTTAAATATACATCAAAACAGACATCTTTATTGCATTATTCAGTTTATAGTGAGCAAATTGATATACAGCTTTACTACATAGATTAAATTATCATGAAATGAGGCAGTGACTTAGTCGGGCAGTGACACAGAAAACAGATTGCGACAAAATGACTTTTAAAAAATCTGAATGCAAAAAACAATGCAAAACTAGTGAATGTTGTCAAAAGTTCATTACTATCCATGATTTTTATAATTTTGAGGTATTTAGTTTGTGTTGAAGCTTATTGTTGGTTTTACTAAATCAAATAAATATCATTATAGCAGCAAAAAAGAAAATTCAAACATGAACGTTAATGAAAAGTTGCTATAGTTCATTCGAAGTCACCCTCAGCATATGTTTCCCCTTTTTGCTTTTTTTGCTGAACTTCTTTGGCAGTACCCTTGTAATTCAGTCTTTTTCTTCTTTACTTTGCTATCTCAAAGGAACATTTTCTTGTAATTTTTAGCCTCTGGACAGATTTTATTGTAAATGCTTTTCTAATGTGTTTTCCAGCTTTAATACCTAAACATTTGCAAAGAACTGTTTTAAATGTTGCTCCCTTTGAAAATTGGCAAGCAGCCATTGAGACATCTGTTTGCAGGGTATGTCTTCCATCATAAATAGCTTTGGGGCAAATTCTCAACACTGTTGAAGGATTCATTTCTATCTTGCGTCAAAGCACAAGAACATATTTTCAATAAATCCTAATCCGAAAGCTGTTAAAAAATTGGTACAATTTTCTTTGCCACATCTGGTGACAATGTATCATGAGCCTTGTGACTACCAGGGCTGTTGCTTTTTGCAAGGTCTCTCTGCCAGAAACTCCAAGAAGTAGCACCTGGGGGACAATGTGTATGCTTGGGATTGGCATCTGAAGAGGCTAAATGAAAAAGAATTGCAAAAATTTTCTCAAGAATTTTCTCTAGAGTGGCACATCCACCTCCATTGCATTCGCAGTTCCATTGTAGTTTTTTGAACAATTTCTTGCATGCTTTTCTCCCCACTCTTCGGTTTGATCTTCATCTTCAGCAATCTTGTATTTTATGCAAAAATTTGATAAGACCTCAAAATCAATAAGTAGGCCAGTTTCCAAATCTATCACTGCAATTAGGCCATTATGAAAGGAGTGACCTCTTATCTACCTTGATCCGTCAAATGAAACCCCAATGTCTAAAATGTGACTGAAAAGCTGGATTGAAATTAACTTTTGAATAACTAAATAGCAATCAGTATCCCTCTTGGAAGTGTCCTTTGCAGCTGATATATCGAGATCAATTCCAAAAATGTTCATCTTCGCATCGCGATGAGGAAGGCCTAATCGAAACATCACATTGACTTTGCACGCCTATAACAGTGCTAACGTCTTGTGAAGCTTTATCATGTCCCTTTATAACCGTAGCAACTTTGGTCCGCGAATTTCTAGTTTTTCTTCGACCTAAAGATGGCTTGCGACTTCTAAATTTTACAACTTTTCCAATTTCACTTCGGTGGCTATCAAAACAAAATATGGCGGAACACTGTTGTCAGCTGATCAGTATAGGCAGCCTGACCAATGGGAGAGCTTGTTGCTCAAAGTGAACCAATCAAATCACACCAACGTCAAAATGGCAGACTAGAACAATCCAGATCCAGAAGATTTGGCCAATGAAAATCAGTTAAAAACAAAAGAAAAAGCTAAAAACAATCCTAAATTTACCATGATATCGAACAGAGGAGAAATTAGCTTTTCATCAATATATAGGTTGCCTGAAACCGACGAAGTTGACACGAATGGGACGGACTTTTTTCTTGAGCTTTTATCCAACATTTGCAATAAAAACCAACTGAAAGTCATACCATGACGCACTTTATCCTCTCTAATAATAAAACGGGTAGAGATATAGCCAAAACCTCTCGTACACTGAAAGATGAATACCGATCGAACATTTTTGCAATGAAATCTCGATTTGTGAAATTCTCCCAAAAATTGCCTTTTTGGAGTGGTAAAGTACCTTAAAATCGTTTTTGAAAAAAAAAGTTGAGGTCGGCCCAGTGTTATCACAGTATACCATCATGCTTTGCGTCACCAGTGGTGAGGCTATTCCATTTTTGGCGCGAAATTCCTTAAGGCCTGCCAGGTCTTCATTTAATTCAGCTTTGAGCATCTTGGCCACAGAAATGCCACCCAAAAGAAGACAGTTGTTATGGGACGAGCTCCAGGCGAAAATGAGCGGGAAGCGGACCAAAACAGATGCACATAATAAGCAAAGAAACAAAGGGTCTGCACCTCATGAAATTGTGGTCCAAAAACTTTCATCTGAGGCAGACAGCCGACAAACATACCGTCCCATTCAACCCAGAGAGTTTGTTGAATTTGCCTATGAAGATCTGACGCTGACAAATTTGAAAGACGCATGTGCTACCCATTTTAATTTTCCAGCAGCCTCATGCGATGTTCTTGTTTCAAACAAGGGGCCTTCATGTACAAACATTTCACAGATCCCACATAGAAAGGATAGGGTATGGTGGATAATATCATATATTTTTTTACATTTGATTTCACATCGTTGTTACAGAGTCCAAAAGAGTTGTCAGCCTTCCTCCTGCCAAGAAAATCTTTCTATAAAACCTTACTTATTATTTTTGTGTTTAAAATGGCGCGGTCAGGAAATTGGGGGTATTCAACTAGTATCTCTCTTTGCAACTTTGTTTCTCCAAAACATTGTTGAAGAATGGTTGCTTGTTTTAAATTACAGATATTTTTTTAAAAAGATCTGAAGTTACTGCTTTTAATAAATAATAACAGAAGTGTGTCATTATTTAAAAATATCAATTATCCAAAGTTAATACTTAATTTTAGCAGTGCGGAGTAGTTCCGCAAACATAATCATATTAAAAAACAATAGGTTTTTGAATTTTGTTCTGTTTTTTTCATGTTTTTCATGGCTGTATTTTGAAAATCGAAAGGCTATGAAATGTTTTCATTTCCTCAAGTTTCCAAATTTTTTGCTACCTTCCTCTGGCCTATGGCAGTGGGGCTGTCATGTTTTCCTGGGTCTGCATTTCTGTATATTTTTTAGTTTTGTACATGGTTTTGTATGAGTATTTTGTGAGACATAATTTTTTTTAATCTTGATTGTTTTCAGGTTTACCTTGTTCGCTTTGTTCATGTTCAGGAAAACGAAGACGCATATCCGGCTAATTTTTCAGAACTGGAATCTTCAATATTTCAGAACACTGAAGCCAGAAGAAATATAGAGCACAGGAATTCCTTTTCAAAACCAAAAAGTATGCCAGCACAATCAGTTGTTCCGACTTCAATTTCAATTGGTGAATTGCTAAGAGCTGGGAAGCTGGTCATACCCACAAGGAGACAAAATAAATTGCTTGATCTCGAAGAATTTGATGTTGTAAATCAAGAATGGGTGGGACAAAAACAGCTACAGTTTTCTGTGTCAGTGGAAAAGTTCTCATCTGGTGGATTCCGAGATGCTTTTAAATGCATTAAACTGGTATGCAAAGAGCAAGATAAGCACTGGGTTCTCAAGCTTTACAAGGAGTCTGTGAAGCAAACAATCCAGGATCAAATTGGCATAACTATTGAAAATCATGCCAGAAAACAAGTGCAAATGCATGAGGTTGCTAGATACATCACAAAGAAATTCAAAAACACAGCTTCCAAGTTTTCCTTTGGTAAAACTTTCAATTACAACAAAGTTTACTATACAAACTACAATGGTGAGCCAGCAACAATTGAAGAATTCGTTCCTGGAGTTTTTGTTAAATACATAAACAACAATGGTTTCTGTGCTGAACCTTCCTTTGCTTCTACTGAGCAGGATAAAGAAACATACAATAAAGCACAAACATTGGTGCACTACAGCTATGAAGCTACAGATCAGAAGATGATGTTGCTAGATATACAGGGATCTTCATTTCAAGTATGTGATCCTGAAATTGCAACTTCTGCATTGACAATGGAAGATGATACTGCTGAAAATGCAAAAGATGAAATGTTGTTTTGTTGCGGAAATTTGTCAATTGTTGCGATAAGCAACTTTATTGCAGAACACCAGTGCAATAAATACTGCAAGATCCTTGGTTTGAAAGATTTATTAGATACTTTGTAAGAAAATACTTCCTTTACAAGAACATTTTGTTTTATCAACTATATGATAAAGACTTGGACAAACCTAATAGTGTAACATCTTATCAGTTTTTCTAATTTTTAATATCCCAGAGGGTGTTTTGTTTGCAGTTATATTAACGTTACGTTATTTGCATGAATTTTTGTTAAGGTTATTTATTCCCACTGTTGGCCTTAGTGTACTATTCCTCTTTATGAGATACCAGAACTTGATGTATTTGGCACAAAATGGGCTTTAAGAAATAGGTAAGTTTCTTTTGCATCAGAAGGCTTCACTGTGTCAACATCGGGAATAATCCGTTCACACTCAACTCTGGTTGCAGGATCCAGATAATCATTGCCAAAAGCCATAACACCTGATAGTTCTGCCACCTCATCTAACTGTTCAGCAGACACAGGCAAGCCTGGAATGTAAATGGAATGTAAAATGTTGTTTTTTAAGAAAACAGATACCAAGTCGGTCGTTTTTTAACATGACCTGGGCAAACCTCACTACTTCTCTGCTAAAATTGTTAAATGGCATCAGGTCATCTTCAGGGCTCTAACCTTAATCAATTTAATCAATGAAAATCTACTCAAAACAATATGCAAAATAATGGTACAGAACATTTTCATATTTGGGTTATTTGTTTGAAAGCAAAATATTTAACATTGGTTAAAATGTTAACATACCACACTCCTCAGCACCATATTTTTCAGGAAAAGAATAAAGATGTTCTGGTATTCCCTTTGGTAGCTGGGCATCTTTTTGTCGCCTTACTCTGTGAGTGTTCCATGAACAACGGAAATTCTCTAGCTCTTTCGAAATTACTGGAACATACACATAAGCCAACAAGTCCCTATGAAAACAGAAATTGCTTACAACATGATGCATTTTACAAAAGCCACAAGATACAAAATTGAAATCAGCTTCTATTTAGTTGTTTGTTTCATTTACTTAACATTAGTATTACCATGTTGTAGTTTACAGGGTACCCCTAAAGTAACAAGCTAAAATAGGAACCCCCTCTTGCAAATAATTATCAAACTGTACTATATTTCCTTTATAAAGGTGTAGTACTAAATTGGAAGCAATGCAATGAAAGCCCAACAATATGAATTTTGTTCTGATGACACCAGGAAATTTCTGAGATCATTTCCCATGAATTTGTTATCACTATTTCATTTGATCTAAAGTGATATGTTAAAGGATATACTAGTTTATGATGTTTTGAATGCTAAGAATGGCATGGGGATTAGTGTGCATTTTAAAGTGTTGAGGACACCCTTTATTGTCATACCTATCTTTGGAATTGTTAGGATCATAAAGGCCTTCTTCCAGTAAGATGAGTAACTGTCTCTTGAAATATTTCTCCATGCGCAAGTGTAGCTCACGCCACCACCTCTCTATCTAAATGCAAAGAGATCTGCATTTTTTTTTAGAAGACACCATCATATGTCATACATACACATTTTCATTTTATGCAAAGTAATAAGATTTTGCCATTAAACAAGGTCATAAAAATTTATTATAATCTTGAGCATACTTTGTTGCTGGTAGATGGACCATAGCTGACAGTATCTTCTGGACAATCAGAATGTTTCTCTCTCAGGAATGAGTGAATTGTCGCAAAATCCCCAGTTTCTGATCCTTTATCCAGTCTCAGTCTTTGGCTAATAACTAAATTGAAGAAATGTGTGTCAGAATTGGACACAAAGAATTTTTATGACAGGAACATTTACAGTGACTTGGTGATAAATGTTTAAACAGGTTAAACGTAAAAAGTACCTTTTTTCTTGTATAGATAATCCAAATACCAACGACCAATGAGTTTTGGGTTTGAATTTGAAACCCAAATATTTAGGAAGAGAATACACCCACTGAAGACATCTTGCCATCCGTAGACTGCCAATGGAAAAGTGTCTTTCATGAATCCCATCAATTTATCATGCCCATCTGCAGATATGGTATGGTTGGGGCCCTGCAGATTGAGAAAAGTTACACCTTCCAGGAACCACCCTGTTGGTTATTTGAAGTTGACAGATAAATATGGAGAACCTCAAGGCTCAGTCAGTTGTTTCATTTTTGTTAAAATCAAATTTATTGACCTCTGCTTTTCAATACATCTTTAGACATAAGTGTAAGAAATAGAATGGTTCTTACATGAATTGGTTTCAAAAATACCTGCTTAGGCATAAATATTCTCACTGTAAAAGGGTTACATTATTTTTCGGAAAGGTGCAACTTTAAAGCCTTATAACTTCTAAACTAATTTGAATTTTGCAAAAACAACGACTTTGCCATAATACATGCACCAGATGCTAACTTTTTAGTCAATAAAAAAAATTTTTTTGGCTGGAGAGGCCCTTTAAAAGAAAACCTCTGCTGTAAGACAAGAAAAAACAGGGAGAAAATCATAAAAAACCGGGAGACCGGGAGAAAGCAAGCAAAACCTGGAGTCTCGCGGCAAGACGGGGAGAGTTGACCAGTCTGTAAGATTGTAAATGTTTATTACCAAAGATGTAAATGTTCCAACTGGGCCTCTTTTTCGTTTTTGTTTTCCAAACGTCTTTCGTTTCTCTAGGCCTTCTGGGTCGTCTAGGCTCATGACATCATACACGAGCCCACGAGGAACTGCAAGGCCATGATGCTCGCGTATTTGCTTATGCATTGCTCTGTAGCCGAGCAGCTGGCCAGGACCATTAATCTGAGTGGCAAATGCACCTCTAACTTCACTTAAGGTTGTGTCATAGTTGATAAATCTTATACCAAAATGCTGCAGTCGACGACTAAGTGTAGGCAGACTCCACGCGTACTGTGGAAAATCTCTCTCCAAAAAGTCGACAATTTCAGCTCTCCGAAAATTTTGCAGCACGAGCGAACGCATTTTCTCCTTTAGATCGGCATCATCCATCCATTCAACATTCCTGATCCCACTCATAATCCCTCCAGTATCCAAAAATCACTAGAAATGTTACCTTGCCACTAATTTTTTGTACAATCAACTTTGTGTAACTTGATCCGTCTGGCTGATGATCGTAAACTGCTCGCATTACAAAATGTTCGATTTATTCTTCGGAGTTTCTCAAAAAATTGGAATTTGCTTCAGTCATAAGCTAAATATATCCTTCTCCTGTTTGAACAGAATTTAATTCAATGAAGTACTTATATGCAGGGGTGTAGTGCTAGGGGGGTCAGGGGGGAGAGAGGTGATTTTCCTGAGAGGACCAGAACAATTCGTCGAATTACAAAATGCTCTGATTATCGGGATCTCAAAGGACTTCGAAACTTGTTCCGTGTTACCTTTGAAAAAAATGACCAATGTTCCCGTTGAAAAATAAAAAATAAATGTTTCCTTCCTCCTTTAAACAAGTGATAAAGTTCCCATGTTCCTAGAGGAAAATTTAAGTTGTTCCCGTGTTCCTATACCAATGTACCATTTGTTGCCCTGTTCCCTTGTTTCTAAAAACCCCTTGGAGACCCTAGTAAAAGTTCGAATTAGACAGTAATTACAGACAGAGCAGAGTGTAATTACACCCGCCTTAACAAACACAGCCTCACGATGACGCAAAGCATGATGGTATACTGTGATAACACTGGGCCGACCTCAACTTTTTTTTTTCAAAAACGATTTTAAAAGTCAGACGATTTCAAAGCAATCCAAAATTTCGAAAACAATTTTCGAAGTTGGTTTTTAAAAATTTTAAAGATTATTTCAAAAAATATTTCTCGTAATTAAAAAACAATGTCTATGAAAAACTTTGCAAATAAAAACTATTAATTTAAAAGTAATTTTTTCGATAATACGTTTGAATTTTCAATGATAACGTTGGGCCACCATACATTTCTACTTATGCTTTACCCTTCATTATAGCAATATTAGCATCGTTAAATCTTTCTGACATTTAATCGTGATTTTCTAACCCCGTGCACACGAACTTTTTAAAATTTCATTTAATACCATAATATTTTAATAATATTTCATTTTATTAAGTCAATTGCATTTGTCAATCAATGAAGAAAACTATGAGTGGGAAATGATTAAGTTTTAAGACAGTTTTATCAAGAAGCCAATACTAATTTTCATTCAAAATTATTGGTTTCCTCCCCTAGATAAACAAAATTCTGAAAAGGTTAAATGGTGGACATCCCGGTCAGTTTCCAGTTACAACATTTTTGCAATTACTATATTTTTCTTTTCAGCATCATTACATTGATAGAATATATATCTAAATAGAATTTGAAAACAAAAAAGGTGTAAAGGCTATAACTTGTCTAGTTACTTTATACAAAATAGATGCTTGATGGTACCAATTCACAGTAATTGTATCATATTAGCAACCAAAACACATAAATGCAGGAAAGAAAAATTCGTTTAACTTAGTGCAAGGTAAAAACATTTCCTAGGCCCTACTCGCTACTGTTGTTGTTGTTGTTCCTGGGCTGCTGGTGCTAGCCGAGATACAAAACCGGTGAAACCAAATAGCACCCGGCCTACAACCGCCGGACACTTTGGGTTACGCGCCAGCTGTTCTACACCCAAACGCATCTGTTGAAACATCAACCTAAAAACAAGAAATGTCATTAAAGACAAAACACAATACGAGATAACCCTATTATCAAGGCAACAACTATACCTATTATATTTTTATACAACCCGAAAATGGTCAAGCAAAACCTCACTGGTTCATCCTATTTGAAAATTGATAGAAAAGTCTGGATCCTTTAAAGGAGGTTGAAAGTGTTTCAAAGTGTTTCACAGGAAGCAGAAAGGGGCATTTTCCGAAAGTAAGGCGACACCGGCCCATGGTGCACTGGTTAAGACGTCCCCGGGCCATTTGTGATAGCTTCCAAGATTATTGAATCTCTTGCACACACGTAGATGGAGCTTCAAAAAAGTCTTACATCCCGGAAGTCTAAAAAGGGCGCCTTAGCCTCGACCACCTTCTAAAGGCTTCTCTCAAAGAGTATTAAATTGAATTAACTTAAAACCATTTCTACACCTCCAATGTTCGGCTAAAACCTACCAATGGAATTTTGACATGACAGCTGAGTAGTTAAGTACTGAAAATCCCTCGTGTATCGGTAATTCTGTTGGATTATGGGATCGAGAGAGTTACGCAACATCTTGGAGACCCGTAGCTTTTGATACAAACAACTTTAACTTTGCAGATTAAAGTTTTAAGAGCGGAGAATCGCACCTAATAAAGGATTTTGGTTCACAAAATCTCCAATGTCAACTGATTGCAGATGGAGATAAGGTAACAAGAAAGCTTTCAAGACTGGTTGTAAATTCAGCCATCAGATTTTGACTTCTTGTATTGAAAATGTCTCTTTCATCTGCCATAAGGAACATAATTTAAGATGCAAAAATCTTTGGCATTTAACCAACGCCGATTATGAATGTCAAATCTGTGATGTTTCTGCAGGCTTTCGCGAGATAAATAGGTACCCGAAGGCATAGAAGTACCACTAAACAACAATTATTTGTTTCACTTCTTAGATTCCTTGTCTTGGTTGCCACTATAAAATACTCTCCATCGGTAAGGGGACTGTAGCGTGGCGTTCTAAAGAAAACTGTATCTCCGGGCAAATTTTAATGACAAAATACATGCTTCTAAGATTCAACTTAAATGTATGTAAAAAGACGAGAAAACAAAAGAAACCAACCGAGAATAAGGGTTTCGTCTAGAAGTGTACCGCAGCTGTAGAAATCTATAGTAGAAAAATGGCACCAGAAAACTCGCTTGAGCACTGCAATGAAAAGAACATGGAAAAGCTTAAATAAAGTGTAGCTAAAATATAAAAAAATTATATATAAGAAACTATATATAAGAAAGAAAACATTTGTCTCGCCGTGTTGGCAGTTCTCATAGCCAAAAAATGAGTGATGTCTTTTGGCAAACTTTGTAGTTTCTAATGACATTGAAATAATATTCAAAAACTTGGTAATCAACATTTAGAAGAAAAATGTCTCAATCATGCGATTGAAACCAAACTCTTTCAATAAATGAATTTAACATATTTAGACAAGTCTTGCGATGAAATTCATTCTTCCAGTATGCATAGCATCCCGTATTGTGACAGAGTCATTATTTAAGGGGACGGCCTCTGCAACATGTTTCTTTGAACTTGAATATAACTTAAGGCGACTGTGGGCATCTAAATTAGAAAGTCCTTTGGTATTGTTTCTGTTGATTGGGCAAAACAACAGGACATAAAATAAAATACCATCTTGAGCAACCAAAGCAATAAGAGCTATTTGTCTACACTGTCAACATGAACAACGGCATGAAAGGACGGCCATCTTTTTGGGAGCAAGAAAACACTCCAAAAAGAAAAATTCCTGGGCATCTAGCAAATCCCGCGGAAATCACAATAAGTTAAAAACCCGTTGTGTATGGAGCTTCTTGAGCTTTCATGTAGCGAGCAAGTTGCATGTTCCTATTACAAATTACGAAATACGACTGTGTATTTCTCGGATGACTTATAAACAAGGTTTGGTCAAACGCTGCTCAATTTCACATTGTAAACAGTTTGCGTTTCAAGATCTAAAACGCGTAATAAAATATCAGTACTTATATGTACCTCGTTGCAAGGCTAAATTATTAACATTATTATAAATACTAGCTCAACGAATTAGTGAAGAGTTTTTTGGAGACTGTATGACGTAAAATTTGTTTCAAAACCTTGTGATGCAAGGCCAATAAGATTTGAGTGGCAAAAAGAGAAAGGTCCACAAGAAGCCGCGTCGTAAACGGGAGAGAGGTTGGCAAATATCTCGCAGTTTTGTAATAACACCGAGTTCATATCAAAGATAGGCTTTCCTCCTCGAGGATCTTCCTGATACAAACAATTTAGAATCAGCTATGGTTCAACCAACATAAGAAAGTTTACAGGAGCAAGTTTTAGTGAACAGTTTGCCAAATTTCACCGCTAAGGGGGGATGGGGTTTCATCAAAAGCCATTAAGTAGGTTGTAGATATCTCGTAGTTTTGCAACAACACCAGGATCACATCAAAAATGAGCTTTGCTCTTAGGGATTTTTCCTTGAAACAACAATTTCCAAAACATGAATCGACTACGGTTCAACTCGGTTCAACCAACATAAGAGGTAAGTTTGGAGGCTAAGCCCTCGACTTGAAGTAAAGTGTGCTCACACTTCATTGTCTGGGACTTTTATTATCTGCTTCTTGCAATATCAAAACTGGCAAAATTGTGTGCAATCATGCGCCAGTTGTATGCAAACAAAGACTGGTGGGGATTGCTAATGCAGCATATTTGCATTTTCACAGACATCTGAAATCTTAAACATCAATCAATCGTTATATCTGAACAGTTTTAGAAGGATGCATGTTAATTTTTAATGCCAATCCACTTATCGCAATCAATATGCGAATACAAAGAGCCGATGATACCGCAAAAAATTTGTGAGCAGGATAGAAATGAAAACTTTTGCTCATATATGGCTAATGACAAAAAGTTTCGAATACTTTCTTTGCTTCTTCGGGCCAATAATATTTACATTTCTTTAACCAAGTAAAACTTTTAGAGTGTCGACATAACTTGGACTATGAAAATGATAAAGAAATTCAGAGGCAAGAGTTTAACATAGAGACTGTCAATAACGTTTAGAATTGAGCTGAAATGACGTTTAGAAAAAAAAATAATTGTATAAATAATATGAACCAGTTAAAGTAAATGTCAATTAACTACACACAAAAAATAAGATTTTTGAGCCCATCCCGATGACTGAGTAGCAAATCGCACACCGGCCTAACCCATGCATTTTAGCCGTTCGTTGTTGCTGGATAACATACAATACCATTTTTCATTATGTCTTTCAAGAAGAATCAGCTTAAAGGATGCGAGGTTGTGCGTTGAGAGTCAAAGCAAAGGTTATAGTATGTTTCAAACTGTTTGCTTTTTTCGAAGCCATCCATAGAATTGATTATAAAAATAGCTACCTAAGAAGCATTAGAATGGTAACAAGCATCATCATGATCTCTGAGCTTGCGATGAACTGAAGTAGCGATTGCTGTGTTTGTCGATCTTCTACTTTCAAAACATAAGGACGAATTCTGCGAGAAAAACAAGCAAAGGTATTTGAATAAATTACTCTAGGGTTTGAGGGTTTGATAGACCAATTGGGCAAAAGCGAGACTAACATAAGCAATTATGTCATAACTTTTTTATCGGTGAGGTCTTTTTCAACTCAACTCTGGTTGTTTTTAACTGATATTGTGATCATATATGAACCAAACGTTATAATGGGATGAACTGTGATTCAAAACAAAACTAAGGAACAAGTGGGGAAATTAACAAGAGTAGGCCAGTGCTAAATTCAATCTCAACTCTTATTCATCGAATTTGGGTTTCGTTGATTTGAAAAACAAAATTTGATGACTTTCAAAATTTCTTTGGGATGGTATCTACTCTAACGTAAGAAACAACAGTAGGTCGGAGCTGATAAGGTAGTTTAGCATCTCCAATTCAACTTTCCGCTAGAAGAATGATGGGAAAGAAGGCCTGGCCACTACGAGTAGAAACCTTAGAAGTCAAAACTGAGAGTCGTCTAAATGAGTTAAAACACTAGGATACGACTCACCTTCGTAGGAAAAAGTTGTCAGAACCTGCCGCCTGTCGAATGATATAGATAACAAGTGAAAATTGCGCTCATAAAACGAGCTTGAATACAATTTAATATGAGAAATTATGTAACCAACACTGTGGGAATTCATTGAGAAAAGAAAACAAGGTAGCTGATTCGGAAACCCATTGCAACAATGGATATCGGCAAAACTAGGCTTGTACCTAACTTGATACCTTCATCAAAAATACAAAGTGACTAGATGACAATTAGTTGGAAATCAATGTTTCAGGGGAAACATTTGACTATGATAGCTCTTGTGTACCAAACAATGATAACTTCTCTTCTGACGTTCATTCTCGCTATATAGTGCAACACCCCCGTTTTTAAAACAAACGATAGAACGCATAGAAGCCGTGCAGAAAAAAATCATCGGCCAACAAGTTCAGAGAAATGAAATAATCACAATGAAACGAATATGTACATATGTGCACAAATGCCTCCACTCTAATATCGTAGGCGCTATCTTTGACAGCTATCTTACAATGAAAAACTCCAATGTAAACACCAGAAACAATGGCACAAGGATTAACATCCCGAGGATTAATCTGGAAATAGCAAGAGCATCCTTTAACTACCAAGGTGCCTCATTATTCAACAAACTTCCAAAAGAAATTCCAGCAGAAAGTGATTTTATTTCCTTCAAAAATAAATTGAAGAGCTTTTATACTTTAACTTGGACTCTCAACCTTATATCTCTCTTTTATACAACTCTACTTCATCCCCCTTGTCCAGTTTTGGTTTCCGCTTTCAAATTATATTTTATGAATGCTGATTATAAACTAATTTTTTAATCTTATTTTTGTTTATGTTTGTTTATTTTACCAGGACTACTAGGAAAACAGTGTAAATGTGTATATATGCATATCACTACTGAAGTATTATTCTGTATAAATATTCGATAATAATAATAATGATAATACATTTGGATGGATCATATAAAATTATATTTTTCGAGAGAACTTGGTGGTTAGTAGTCATGAAATTTTTCAGGAAAGGCAAATATGTAAGAAACTATCTTTTGAATCTGAATCAGCTGCTTAGTGTTGACGTATTCTCGACGCATCTGTAAAAAGCAATACTTACATCAATGATCCTGCGAGTGAAACTTCCCGCATGTAGTACAGCAAACAACGTTATGGGGATTAAAACAACTGAAAATAGCTAAGGAAAATTCACTTTGATGAACAACGGTTTCAAGGAAGCGACATGAAAGTTTACCTTTTGTAAATCAATTCTGTTCGGCGGTGTTGATGTGAGAAATAAATGGAAAACATCTTGTCGGCCTCTCACGTTACTTATAGGTACCCTTGGCAGTAAAGTAACACGAGCATTCGACGTAATTACCAGGAGTGAAGTAAAAAGCATCGGTTTACACTATTTTAATTGAGAGCATCGCTTTGAACTACAGTGTTCATTGTAGGAATATTTTGAGTTCAGGTTTAAATTTATCACCATAAATTTAGTTCAAATTTTCATATCCTTTCTGCTTGTATTATAGTATTATAGTTTGACAACTTACAAGTGATTTGAAACACTTCACCCTCAGTTGCCAATCCCGGTCAAATCCTTTCAACGATCTTCACTATATATCGTCAGAAGTCAAAATCACAACTATTGGCATCATGAATTGAAAGCCTGGTTTACACGAGGAATACGAAGGTAAAAAAAGGGCGTAAAAGTTAAAAGAATTTTTCAAAACGAAGCTGTAATTTTGAATTGTGTCTAAAACTTCTTTAAGAAGTTGCTGAAGCCATTTCGTTACAAAACAACAAACAATATATGGAAAATGGGGCGGGTGTAAAATTTGGTGACAGGAATGTGTGAACGATTGAGCCCATCTGCAAAGCAGGAAAATACATTGCAAACAAGAAAGACCCATTTAGTTGACTTGCAGGGTCATCAGTTTAAATACAAAGCTCCGATAAAAGATGAAAGAAGATTTCAAAAGAGATAATTGCTGATAATTGCACAATTCGTACAACACAGCTGGACGATAAAACGATGGCCACAAGTGAATTAGATCAAATATGACATTGGTGAGATATAGCGATTAAACTTGGGTTTAGAACAGACGTCACTTGCCGTATCTAGCAGAAAAAACCTTCCGAATGACATCATAATAAAGGATTATTCATAAACATAGACAAAGGATTATTCATATTCATAAACAATTCAAATTAACTTTATTTTAAAGTATAACCTTGTGTTTTTGACAAGAAACATAACGAAAATAAACGTGGTCCTTTTTCCCCAATATTAAATCCTTCTTTTGTCACAAAATGCTTCTACCCACTCTAGTAAGTTTATTTTGAAGAGGATACGGGTCGCTGCATGTGCCATGATGAATAAAACACTGTAACAAAGATAATGAAAAGCATCTTCTTGGATAAGTTGTTGAAAAAACAATCGACTGAACTGGAACCTCTGTCAAAACAAGCAACTCTGAGAAATAACTTTTATTTGAGGATAAAGAAAATTAAAAAACATGTTGAAGGTTAAAAGCAGGCTACAAAATATTTCATAGATATGGGAAATATTTCAATTCATCAAGTGAAATATAATTTTTAAAAATGTAAAAGAGTATCAAAAATTGCTAGGGTAGGGTGGGTTAAAAGGGGTTGTGTAGCGTATTTTATCATGTTTAGATCTATTGTAACTATTTACCTAATTCAATTTTATGGTACTTTTTCATTTAGTTTAGTTGCATGGCCCCTTGTAAACCAGCATTGCTAAATGGGCTACCGTGCTTTAATAATTGAAAATGAAATGAAATGAAATATGCTAGAGGCCGCCGAATGGTCAAAAAAAGGAAAAATTCAACTGCATCATTTTTCAACACACATTACATTTGATTCCTATATGGGTAAAATTTTCTATTTTCCTTTCAATGGTAATCTAATGTTTTCACTCTGAAAACTCCCCGAATGAGCATCTTGAGCTGTTTTAGAGGGGCAGTAATTTGAAGGGGGTACCATATAAGTTTTTAGTTATTTCTGCAGATCATATGAAAAATTGTGTGTTCGAGCCAAAAAATTGATTTTTAGAAGATTTTGAATGATGCACTCCAGAAGATAAATTTAAAATAGATTCATTTAATACAGGACTCCCAGGAAGACCAGATGTCTACTTGAATTCAGTCATAGTATTAAAACAATTTTTAAAGGGATGGGGTGCTCATTCCAGTGGGGTGCTATTTCAAAGGGTGCTTATTCTAGGATTTACAATACTTTAGCATGCTATGTTCCTGCCATTCCGTGTTATCTTCAAAACTTGCCATACCAAGATATCTGCCTTAAGGATGTAAGTTATGACTAACCAATACTTTAACATCCATACCAGAAGGAAACATCTGGTGCGTGTTAATACTTTCTTTATATCCATTAAATTCTTCATTTTACACTTTAATTACTTCTATGGTAAATCTATGCTCAAATAGGTCACCAAAATTTCACCAATAAAAAGACAGGAGACAGGCTGAGCCCAACGAACATCTAATGCACCACATATTTGGCTCATTGGCGCTAGTTTTGCGGATTTTACAATGAGATTGTTGCTTTGGTGTTTTTTAAATTAGGGCCAAGATACAGAAGGCTTGACTCTGAGCAGAATTATCTTATTCATTATTTACAAATGGAAGTTTTACACACATTACCTACAAAGTAAAAAACTTTACACATAGAAAACCACAACTGTGCAATGATTTAAAAATACCTTAACGTCAATTCAAAATGCTTCAATTGACACTGCAATCCTTTTATCAAACAACCAACAAGGTTCAAATCAATATGTACAAAATGCAACATAATATCCTTCTTTCAATGTCATTATCTTACATAAAAGATGTAAAAAATTTAAAAAAAATTGGTAATGCAATTTATGTGTTATTTTCTTTTAAAACTATTAAACAACAATGACAAATTTCATAAGACAATTAGCATGAACAAAACAGTCAATGCTATCAATTATAGAATCACCTCATTATTTACCATAAATCTAAAAATAAACATAAAAAAGTGTTTCAACTAACCGGAAGTCGTTGATGCAACCTCAGTGCTGAGATAGTTGCAGAGGACAATAAAACTCTTTTGAAACAATTTGCACTAAACTGGGACCTGTACACAAACATGTAAATTGGCAAATTCTTATAATGGTCTATATTTTCAAAATTATGAAAATTTTGTCAATACGGTAATGAAAAACTATCAGTTGGTAGATTACTTTAAAAGATGCTACCGATGTCAAGCAACACATGCATGCTTAGACTTGAAGCCAAAAATGTTTCAACATATGTTTCCGTTAATAAATTGATCTATTTATATAATATATAAATATTCAGAAAAAAAATTCAGTAACTTTTTCCTGTAAGCTTCTTTACAATACACATATGATAACTTGGACTGTTTTGCCCCTTCAAAAAGTTTTGAACAATTGTTTGGATATGATGATAACTACATATTTTGGTACAGTGCATTGCTAAATGAAAATGTTATTCATACATATCGAAGACCTTGATCTTATATGCAGCTGAACATCATAAATTACAATGCTAGGATCAGAATAAGAAAAGCAATCACTGGTCAACTCAAGATGTTCTTGAGCCCCTGCAATACATTAGTATAGTTCCTCGTCTCAAGCTAGAAGTACTATGTTTGTTTCAGGAAATGGCTTAAAAATGGTCATGGAATCTTAATCATAAATAGAAGGAAATCTAATGGCTAAAGGTGATCAGTCATTCATAATTTACAGTGTAATCTGCAAGCTTCATGGGGTTTTTTTATTCGTGGTAAGGAAAAAAACAACCTACCAAGAAAATATATGTTGAAAGGTTTTTTGTAGTTAGCTCAACCTGTGAATATATCAGTCAAGCATTGTGAATAAAATATAAATTGGGGATGAACAAAATGAAACTTGCCCAAACAGTGGAACTAAAAAGAAAAGTGTGCAGCCAATTGTGTACATTCTCAGCAACCATTGTGCAGTGCTGTATTTGTTTTCAAATAGAACTACCTAAAACAAAAACAAATTAATGCTGAAAATTCAATGCCATTTTGAGAAAGTTTTCACAAAAAAATGAGGCCTACTAACACACAATATGACAAAAGGATGTCTTATCAATTAATGATGAAGAAGAACCAGGTAAATTGGTAAAAAGAAAGGGGTTATCAACAGCTCTGAAGCAGGTTAAGACTGAGCTGTGATGTTATGCATGCAAGCCTGGCTTGAAAAGTTTACAGCCAACGGGAGTGTGAAAAATTGAGAGTCAGTTTGTGAAATTTAGCTGATTATTGCAGATACAATCTCAGATTTCTACAAATGCAGGCCTTGCTCTAAGTAAAATGAAGGTGCTCCATAAAAAGAGCCCCTTAGAAACTCTAGGCGCTCTATTTCGCACCTCTAAGTAAATTTCCTTGAGAGCATCCTTCGAGAGCTTTAGAAGATCGAGAGCTTCATATTAAAAGCTTCGGAAGAATGTTAAATATGAAATTCAACGGTGATACCAGAAAGCACCATAATATGAAATAACAAAACATGCAACAAACACTATGTTAATGTAAATATATAAATATAACAGAACAAAGTCGCAAAATTGTTCAGATTTTTCTAGATATGTAAGTTGCCATCATGCGATGAGCTTTTATCAGTGTCAGTATCACTACTGTTATGCTCAGCTTCACATATTGCTTCATCAAAACGCATGGCTTTAAATCGAACATTTAACTTTGTTTCCTTTTTTCATGTTATCCATTCTATAAGAAACGCTAGAACATCTACTACTCGCAAACTCAAATGAAAAGCAATGCGATAATTTGGACGGAAACGTGATCGCTGATTTGCACAGGCGATTTTAAGTTATTAAGAAAAACAGAAAATAATATTTACTTCAATAGAAGATTAACGCTTGCTCAAAAATCAAATAAATCTGCCGGAGAATACGCTTGATGGCCTGTATTCTTGATGGTTATTAGAGGGTTATTAGATTTAAAATGATATCGAAAACCCAACGTTGAATTTGCTGATTTTTTCTCAAGGGGTAATCTTACGCAAATCATAATATTGCGGTCTGTTGGGAAGATTGTTTATGCTTGATCAAGTTGATTCAACAAATTCCAAAAATTTATTTTGCTCCGTGTTAATATTGTTTTTACGTTTTGAGGGGCTCTATAAATCGCTCTCCAAGGCTTCTTTTGGGTGCGCTCTAGGCGCGCGCGCTCGATCGAGCGCCTTTCCGGGCAAGGCCTGAAATGAATGGTCATTTCAAGGCTAAAGGGGCAACCAAAATGCTAATAGACTGTCTTGTTATCAGCAAACACCTCTAGCTGGAATTGAAGAGGGCAGGAAAAATACTTCATCAGTAGAAAAGAAATAAATATCTTGAAACATACAGAAACATACTATTGGCGCCAGTTAATAAGAGCCTAGTTATCTTGTTTATTCTGGTTTTAACAACAGTATTGAAATTCTCTAACTGTTGATGGTACTTCTCTTCTTGATGTACTGAATTACAAAATTGTCACTAGTTGCTTGGGACACTTAAAAACTTAAATGTGAGCTATTGACCTAAGTGTCTCATTTCAAGTACTCTTGCAAATTATTAAAAAATATTCAAACATTATTTAAAGAGAAAAGGCAAAAGGAAAATCTGTTCTACTAAGTTACAAGCATTTTTGTGCTTCTATTATCATATTAAATGTCTTGATCAACAACAGCTGCATTTTAAAAAGCTGTAGATTTATTAAAATCAGTATTTCCTTGGACTTCCTAAAAGGAGTTTACTTGTCAATTTTGGTTTTTTAGCAAAAATATGTCAAGTCAGTGCTTGACTAATTTCAAGAAGTATCTCAATTCGGGTCTTTACTCCTGTCACTGAAACAATTTTGATTTTGATTTATTTTTTATATATCATACATAAGCTAAGGACCCTCAAAACTATAGCATCTTTTGAAATCTAGGGTGTTTAATTGTTTAAATAGAGGTTTGCTATGATTTTAACTTGAATGTGACATCAAGCCTTCAGCTTGTTTTAGTTTGCTAAGGAGTTGAACAACGATTCAAACAGAAATCAGAAAAGTAAAATAAACACTAAATTTCCTTTCATTTTGATCTGCAGGTACCTTAACAGCAGGCCAACCCCGTACTTCTTCATTGCGTTCTCCAGCTGTAGCACCATTCCCGTCCGCCATTTTGTTCGAGAAACTTCGTTGATCACAGGGATACAAAGATATCATAAATACTTTGAAGAAATTTGTGGAGTGCGGGAGAGGCAAGAGGAGGCAAGAGACAATGGCAAAAAATATCTTTGTAAAGGGAGAGTTTTCTGGTGTTCTAAAAGTGAATCGATTTCAAAAACAATCATTGACATATAAAACAACGTTTGAACCTCTTCAGTTTGCTGGGCCGAAGGGAAACTGTCATATTATGATAATGGACGCACACCAGAATATAATGCCAAACTACGTTACATACACATTCATACAAAAAATATCCTGTGCAAAAACTCAGTTTTAAAGCATGCTGGTTAATTTTCGAAATTTCGGTGTAAATTTTGGCGACAGCTTGACAAAATTTGGCGAAAAGAGAAATTTAGTGAATAATAACAAGAATTACTTTTTTTACATATTTTTATCATAAACATAGAATTATCTTAAACGCAATCAACGGTACAAAAAAATTAAAATCTACAATCGAATCCAATAAATGGAAAAGAAAAGCTAATCTGAAGTAGAATTTAACAAAGCTCTACAAAATGAATCGGCTCGAACGTTTGGCAGAAGTAGTAGAGTGAAGTTAAAACTAGCTACAAACATTTTGATGTGATTTGATGTAAAGGGAAAGTATATTACTTGGGTTAAATGGACGAAAGAAAAATAAATGGCAAGGAGTTTTTCGCTGTAAACAGTTTGATACACAAAGTTTAAGCGAAACGGGAATTCTTTCCATCTTGACATGTCAGTTTTTTGAAAATATTGTGAGTTTTCTTGTTTTTAAAAATTTCATTCAGAAAAAACTTCGGTTTCAAACACCTCGTTGGGATTAGCTTTAAGTTTCCCTGCTTCACCGAAATAAAATCTCACTGCAAATTTCGGTAGTTAATGTGCGCGTGATAAAGAAAGTGGTTTGCGCAATAACTGGCCATTCGACCTTGATTAACCATATGAAAACGAGCGGGCTTGATACTCTTAACACCTGCCTACACATTCACGTCGACAGCTGCAAGCAAAACGAATCCTTTGACGTAGATAAGTTGTAGCACTTAAAGTTGTGCATAGTAAATCAATGAAGGGTTCAGCAAAACTTTGATGCATTCATTCGTAGAGAGTAGCGAACACACTGTCATCATTCTGAAAAGACTAAACTTGGAGTTACGAACAAATTCAGGTAAGTTTTCATATGATTTTACATATTCGCGCAAAAGCCCTTCTCCGATGCGGTGCTAGTGTGTGAAATTGTGTGTGAAATTTCAATAATTTTCGCAATATCTCTGCTTGGTGTTACTAAATTATTTCTTACATGTACGTTACAATATATTTTGCCACTGCAAGACAGTTCCTAGTAAATTTATGAACATAACTGCAGATATTGACCAATTCTGCAAGGCAGGTATCATGAACGCAATTGCCTTATTGGCAATAAATCACGCACATAAAAACTAAACAGTAAACTTTTGGCATGGAATTTCAAATGACACGAACCTTCTTAACAAACATTTACTTTACAAACGAATATTCAGAACGTATTGCTTATTTCTGATTATGCGGCTTCAATTTTCCATACACATGAAGAAAATCAATTTACTCTTTTTTAGTAATTTAACGCTGAAAAAGCTCTATGAATCTTTTAGATCCTGTATATTTACAAAAGATTTCGATTTCTTCGTCGAAAAATTGCGGTTTCAGCGAATCAGCTAGGAATGTAATCTAGAAGAACTTTGGGAAGGGAAAATTCTTCTTTGGCATCGTGTTATTATGAATTGATTGCAAATGTTTTAGATATCGATATCTCATTGATAAAATCATCACACGTATCCTAAAATGGCAAAATTTGCAAGCATAAAATCAAAAGTAGCAAAGAAACACAATCAAAACAGAAATTTATCGGTTACATTATCAAAACACCTTTGAACAACAAAGATAGCAACGCCAACTCATTTATCTTAGCAAGAAGAACGCAAACATAAAAAGCAATGCCGATCCTTGAAAACAAATGGTGGTTCAAGCAAACATTATTCAGACCCCAACACTTGTTGGATGTAATGACGTCTTTAAATTTGAGTAACAATGGGCACAGCAAGGAGCCTTGAGAAACAAGCAAGATTTCACTTTCGAAATCAAGAGACTGGCATTATAATATGAAGCGAGTAGGCAGTTGTGTTTGACTGACGAGGAGTTAAACATTCCCCATGTCAACTGATTGCTCAAACAGTGCGAACAGTTTCGATAATGATGTTGCTGCTCTCGAGGCCAATGAATCCTGCTCATGAAACAAAAATTGTAAATGTTTCAAACTTTCTTCAGAAATTATAATAAACTATAGTGTTCCCAAGTGTAAATGTTTCAAATATCTTTCATAAATGTTTTAAAGTTTTCAAAATGGCGATATTTGATGTGAGCGTTTCAGAAATTTTTCAAGAGGAAATCCTCAAGGGAATTACCATTGTTTCGACGTCAACCTCTTATTATTTTCCATCAATCTAAAAATTACATGATTGTCAAAAATATCTCACCCGTCAACGTTAACGTGGTAAATTTTTTAAAGTCATTGAAAGATGATTTTTCTAGAATCGTTAGAAAATCCATTGTCTGCAAATCACTCCTTTTCCCCAGTGGGCTCAAGCCCTGCAAAAATAGGCTTTGACAGTTTTGCTGAAAATTTGGTGGCGATAGATGGCTCAAAAAGGCTCCCAGCTGTTGATGCAGCGTACAGTTTCACACGCCAATCTTTGATTTGCATGACAAATCCAAAGAACAGGAGTTTTCCGCCAGCTCGTGGGTTACCGGTTTATTCATTATTTATCTTTGCAAGAGAAAAGCGGACATAAAAGGTAATACAGATCCCTGAATACAATCCGTTGTTCGAGCAAACAATATTTTGCGACGAACCCTGCTTGGGTGAAATGACATTTAGGGAAACTCCATCTGTAAGGATCGGCTTCTGGGAACCGGACAAATTACGACGAAAAACATTGCTATAGGTCTGTGCCCGAGCAACAGCTTTAGCTCAAGCTGGGTCCCCGATTCATCCAAATTACAGATGAAATAGAAAAAAGTTAATATCTATCCATAAAGTACCTTTGAAAGGTTGAGTGCTCCATTTGCTATATTGATGACAACATAACACATCTCCCCTAGTTTTTAAAGGAAGCCATACAATGAAGCTTTAATGGATCTATTAAGCCTGGTTAACATGTCTCGGAATTTGTCGGCGATGACCCCTGATATAAAGCGCCCCCAATACAAGCATACCCAATGATGATGGTCTCTTGCTAACGTGAGACAATTGTTCCTTACAATGAACGTCTGTGTCAATTGTTTTTTTTTTAAATTTTCGCAGGGAAACCTCGGAAAAGACAAAGATATTTGAGTTCCTTTCTGCCTTGCTGTTTCTCTCGAAAGAAATAACGCTTAGCATCTCAGAACTCTTTTTAATTATCATAATTTCTGTGAACATACCTTATTAATTGCATAATCAGTTTACTGCAAAAGCACGTGAAATCTGAAAATTTACACTGATCGTTGACCGACTGGTCTATCTAGGCAGGAGCCAAGCTTTATCTCCTAGCATGCATAGAGAAAGTGGGGTAACAGGGCGTTTTTGTTTAAAGGACAGAAATATCGCAAATCAACATAAGGCGCCTCAAGAAAACAACAATTTCGTTGTGGCGGCCGATAATTCGCCCGCGCGTATAGGCCTTTTTTTCATCGGTGATGCACGAACTAGAATGTGATAATGTGGTTTATCGCTTCAAACAGCAGCCTTTGAAATGATCATCTTATCTTCATACCGAAACGCTAATCAAGGCAGACTTTACTAGACTAAAACATCGGTTAAAAGGAATTTGATATATCAAACATGAATGAACAACAAAACAACTTAACCTTAATCACCAAAAGGTGTTCGCACGAGAAACGGCTTTTTGAACTTATTCCTCGAGTATCATTTCATCGGTTGTGCCAAGTAACAGAAAAGTGCCAGCATGTTTGATCAGTGCAGGCATGGCGGTAATGAAGCCATGTACAAAAAATATTCATGGCCAGCAAAGGCTCCATCGTCGCGCGCAGTTACAACTGTGGCTGCTACTAATGAAAGACGATGGGCCATTTTAGCCTTGCTTAAGGTTTGAAATTGAAACTGTGAGTGGTCTCTAAGGAACAAACGTCACAGGCAATTCTACCAGCCTCGGTTTTAGCATGATTTGGAGAACGCTTGAATTACAAACAAATAATGAAACATCATCACAGGACAAGGCATCTGAAAACGATGGTTTGAAAAACTATGGTTAAAAATACTTTGTTTAATGAAACATCCCCCGTAGCAGTTTAGTTAATAACATTCACAACGATAAGCAGTGGATCCTGCCAAAAATGTAGAAAATAAGCGGTAGGATGACGTTGATACTTGCATCAACATTTTTGCTATTTGTTTTCAGTTTTATTTTCAACTTAACGGTAAGCATGTTTTTAAATGTTATGTAACATCTTCTTTAACGTAATGTGCGAGTACGTTGAAAATAATGCGCTTACAAGTCGCTCTATCTTGACTTTTTTGAATGATTTTATCTCCATTTCTTTCTGCTTAACGTGTCCTGAAAATGAAATTTTTTAAGATTTATGTGAGCAATTTCTTAAGACTCTCTCATTCAATTTCATACTAAATCAGTCCGCGAAATCTTCAGCATTATTCTAATAAACCACACTTTGTTGGTTCGAAGCGTTTCTGCATTACAGACGAGATACCAAGTCTTAAATTCAAACAGATATAACAATTCAAGCCTCTCTCCCTGTCTGGTGTTGTGAATAAAAATTGAACTCAAGGACTTTAATTAAACCATTTTTTTATAGGAAAATCGAGACTGACATTCAACAATTGGACGTTTGTGCAGCTACAAATTGTTCAAGGAAAAACTTTAGATACTTGAGAAATAAAGAGATACTTGAGAAAAATCAATTTAAAGTTTGAAATTATATTTGGCTTCCTGATAACATTTGAAAAAGAAGAAGGCAACAACTAAATAATGAGAGAGGAACAGTTTTTCTGCAGGGTCGAAAATGCAATGAAAATCGATCGAGAGACAGGCTGACGGGAAACGGAAAAGAGGCAATACTGAAAGAGTTTGGCAAGACAACGTCAGACGCAGACGAAGTAGTGAGTTTGACGAAACGAATTGAAATGGTTCAGATCCGCGGAAAGAGCGAAGAAATGTTGCAAAACATGGAGCAACTAAACACGATCGCACAGGGGAGTGAGCAGCCACCAGAGACTGGCGAAAATGAAGGTGAGAAAGAAATATCGGAGAAAGAGAAGCAGGAAACAGCGACGAAAAAATTTCCATTGCCGCAGGTGACTATCACATGTCCGTTGACGATTGACAGAACGTTTGATGGACCAAATAGTAACACAGATTCGAACAAGGAGGAGAAACAAGACGAACAAGGGGAGAATTTGCACAAAAATGGCAGACTGGCTGGACGAAGGGCTTTGCCAGAGATCACGATAACATGTCCACCGGTTGAAGCATTTGATATCCCTAACAACGACGCTTTCACAAACGGACTTTTTACAAAGCGTAAATATATGATATGTCGCGAAAGCCCAAGAAGTGGTAGACGAAGAATTTCACTCGTTGACTTCCCCAGTGGCCTGTCTTCATTCGAAAAGAATAACTCGATGTATTTGGAGAGCCCTGCCAATTTTGTCGACTCTCCTTACTCCTTCGCAAATGTCGACCTCAGCTTCACATATACCTCCCCCCTGAGCAGTCCGTTCACACCCCCTTTCACGCCTGAACTGAGGCGAAGCTCAAAATTCGTTTATCCTGGGGCAGTCCCTATCTTCAGATTGGAGGAGTCATTCCCCCCTGCTGCATTCGATGATGATGCACCAAAAAGTTAAAGTTACGCGTATCCAACCATCATATCAAAAGGAATGTTGCAAAATAGATCCATTCTACGTAACATTTACAGGTATCACAGATAAAGACTTGAGTGAATTTACACATTGACACTATAATTTGGTATAAAAACTATTTCAGTTAGTTAAATATATATAAATATAAGCAAACTTCGTACGTTGATTACGAAAGAAATGGGCTCTGGCGTAAGATTGAAATTTGGGGGGGGGGCAAGGGCAAAATAAAGACCTGTAACAAAAATTACGCAAAAAAGATTTGGTGGCTTCCCAGATTATTTTCTGCCATTTCACAATGCTCCCTGGGTAGTCAAGATGGTTAAAAGTAGTTCACAAAAGCTTGTTCTAAAAGTATTTCCGAACACTGAAATTTCGGGATCCCATTTCATAACAATTCTCGAATAAATGCTGGCGAAATGATACTTAAAATACCGAAACTGACCTGCTGGTCCCTAAAGAGACCAAGCATTGGGACGAGGGAATCGGCATCCGACGTGGTGCCAATAAAAATGAGCCCATCATGAGGTCTGCTTTCACGCAGGCTAGCGTTCACGCCGTGAAGCAAATTTCCTTCTGGAACTGAATATGAATGCTTGCCATTAACAAATTGTAAATAGCTTTTTATAATTTTCTTTAATCATGTAATTTATTCTTTGTAAAATCATTCTGAAGGAATAGTGGAAAGCATTGTATTTAAGCTGATGGGGTTTCCAACGACAAAAGAAACTGGAAGCAGAGGATAGCAACGGTTTACACTTCAACTGATCTGGCGGACGACCTTGCTTTGGTCTTAAGCAAATTGACAGCTCGTTTTTTGTTAATTTACCAAAAAAACATGCTAGCTCTGGTTGGCAATGCAGATCGTGACCCATGATTTCATCACGTTTTTGTAAGGCTAAGCAGCCGTCTGTTGTCCACACCTACTTATATTTAAGGTATCTCCTCGATTAAACGCCCCGGGGCCGGTATTAATTTGAGTACACTTTTGTGGGGGAAATGGTATGTTAATTTTTCTAAAGGGAAAACATGGCTTCGTGTGTTACACAGTAGGTATACAGGCTATCCCGCTTGATGCATGTGTTGTATTGGGCAAATGCATTTGTTATTATCAATTTTTCAATTTAGTCAAATCTGTCGGTTACAAAATTTTAGCAACCATTTTCGGATATAGCGGGAAAATGAAGCCTGGATGTAGGATTTTCATAAAAATAGAGTTTTCAATACTGGTATTAAAACGATATTCAGCAAAGCAATTTGTAGAAAATATTTCCATAAAGAGAATCTGTTACGAAACAATCTCTGAGAGTCTACACTGAAAAACTGAAAATCCTCATAAAACTATCATTTCCATAAAACATATTTGAAGCTATCACAACGTCGAAATTTTGAATATCATCTGAATCTTCAGACTGCATTTGGTTGGAATACATTCTGAATATATTCAAACAGGCTCTAGAATCGTACAACCAAAATGGCACAATGACCCGAATTATGTCCCTTACACGCGGTCCTTATGAAATAAACTTCGCATTCAAATGGTAACAAGACAGAGCTGGTATCGTTATGGTATCGTTATGGTATTCAAATGGTATCGTGAGCCTGACACAGTCTTCTAAAATACAATGCATACCCACATTGAATTGAATGCAAACCTCTTAAGTGAAAACACGTGAAAGTTGTGGCACATTTGTGCCAAAGTAATTCCACAGTCGTGCATTCATATCTAACTGACGTAGTTGTTGCGTTTATGGTATAATCATTGTATGAATAACTTTGTTTTGAACTAAACAATAATCGGAGTGAAGTGAGCCGAAATGTCTTTCTATTTTGTGTCTTTCTGATGTTAGCAGTAATAAAGACAGAAACACGAAGAAAAAGCATACAAATTCTACTTATAGGCTATAAAACAAAATGACAGTTTTGATGAAACATGACCTATTCCCATAAAAAAACTTAGGTTCGGTAGTTTCCAGTAGTCATTTGTTTATCCATAACTTGCTTCGAGGATATCTTCCGCGGATTTCTGGAGCAGCCTGGACAAATTACTTACTTCGCAGCTTCTTACGGGACGGTGCAGTATCTTCAATCGCCTCTTCGGCAATGGGAGGGATGCTTAGGCCAGAAACCTACAATACAGAATGTAGTCGTCATGAATGAGGTTAAAAGCAACTATGATAAACGTCTCAGCCAGCTTTAAAATATGGGATGAATTCATATTTGCCTGGGCTAATTTCGGCTTCAAAAACAAGAGAAAATAAGAATTTGCAAAGGGATATGAAAATAAGCAGAAGAATCAGAGCAAGATGCTGTCTTACACAGGGCACGAGGAAATAAATAAAAAATTACCGATTAGTTCACGGTTGATCTAATTAAAAGTCAAACATTCATGCACAAAAAGATTTAATCAAATCCAAAACTTCAGGAAAGTTCCTCTAAATGTGCGCATTTAAGAGGAAATTGCAAAGACAACGATCTTTCGGTTTACCAATGAAATAAGGCAAATTATAATCAGATTTTAAACACCTTTTATCCCATCACCTGAATTAAAGTCATCATCTAAAATGTATGCTAAAAGGATCAAGTAGCACCGAACATTTGCATTTTCAATCATTTAAGCAGTTTCCAATCATATAAACACAGTGAAACGTTATTACGGAAACACTTGCTCTGTTAAACTCAAATCGCGCAGAAAAGCCCTATACGGTTTTATTCATTGAAGGTGCGATGAAATAATGTCCAAATTTTTGCCATAAAAATTTCTGCCTTTATCAAAAGCAAATTTCAAAAAAGCTAATTAGTTTAGATGACTAAAAATTATTGCTCTCAATTGCTCGCCATATAATTTGCAAGTATAACTGGGACATTTGTCATCCCCTTTCAACATTTTCTAGCAGAAATCTTTATTGGTTTCTGGACTATCATACACAGAGTACTAAGCAACGGAGTCCTCCAGCCTCATCAAATAAGAACGTTTGTCAACCGCAGCGCAAAATATTCAAATATCTTGATGTTTTTTCTGGCCTTTTCTCGTAAACTATTATTGTCGACGATCACATCACACGCTAATCGTAAATGTAGAAATGGCATGTAAGGTACAAGCTAGCCTAGAGCTAAGAAATTTTGCTTTAAACAAAATTGTCTTTATTAAACAGGATCATAGATTGTACTTTCATGCTTTAGATAAAACCATGGAAATAAATTTTTTGAAATAGTTTGCTTTTCCTCTTTGAATCAAATTTCAGAAAATCTTCCTAACGAGGGACTCGAAAATTGTTTGCTACCTCGTCACAAATTGTATAAGAGCAAAGTGTATAACTGATGAAGAATAAGATAAAGAGTTTTAGATTAAATCTGAAAATGGCCAAAACTTCTCACCCTTGGATAAACCAGTTTAAGTTGCATGTGGTCATTTTGAAAGTCTCTCTTTGCTATGCTGATTCTAATAACGACTTTGTCAAACACACGCAGTACAATATCACCATGCGTTTGTGTTCCATTCTGAAATAGAAAACAAAAGCATCAGTGGTTTGTATTTCTAGCTTGGGCCTGCAATGTCGCTTCTTGTTGCTTGGGACCTTGTTCAAGGACCAGCATAGCAGACAAGTATCTGATTGGTTGAGGAGTCACACAACCATTATTTCTTCATAATCGCTTTAGCCAATCAGCACACAGGGTTCTTGCAACAAACCAATCAAAGGTTGACTGCTATGTTTAAGAAGCGTCTATCGAAGGTATTCAAGAAAAAACAATGAGAATTACCTCCGGGTCATATGTAAATGGACTTTTCTCTTTCGTATCTTGCTTGCTAAGAAAAACTGTTCCTTCTAATCCAAACTTTGGTACCAAAACCTGGATAGCATTTTTTCGAACAGATAAAATATAGCCTTCTTCTTCAGCAGCCCGATCCTTGAAAAATATCTACGAAAATAAAAAATCTTGATGCAAAGCTCGCGTAATATTGTGTATTTTTCAAACATCACAAATAACAACTTGCAAAAAATTCTACCGAATAGTTCTTGTTTTCATAGGGTATTCCAAAAGATCATCTTCGGTGAATATCCGCGAAAAGTCAGCAAAGGAAAAAAGCAAGTGAATTTTAAAAAGGGTTGATCTACATGGAAGGATAAAAAAACTTTGAATGCTCTACCTGCATGTGAAGCTGAATCGAGGCTCTTCCTGCACGTTGAGCCATGAGGTGACATGAGTTCAAATGCTGGCAGAGTTCCTGATTGAAAATGTACGAGAACAATCATAGCATAGAACAAAAAAATGTGATTAACACGATTTTACCATACCAAAAAAGAATTAAAACACACGACGGTTGCTAAAATATTAAACTGCTATCTATAATAGAAAGATTAGAAAGAATTAATCATGCAGGGTTAGAAAACCTGCAAAGTACGCTCTATGATGCATCAAAGAAAACAGGATTGAAGAAACATAATGATGAAAATGGATATTTAAAAGGAAAATAAAGATGAGTGTACCTGTGCTAGATCCTTATTGAGCAGAGAAGGGTAAGGCTCGTAGGCCCCTATTGCTACACCCAGAAGTCTGTGTACAAGAATGTCAGGATACCTAGAAAAAATACAAAACATGACCCATTTGCTAAGATTGTCGTTGCTGGATGCTATTGCAGTACTGTCACAGCACTGAACATATTTCAAGTAACTATGCATGAAAATATATGAATAATCCGATTTTGAAATTATCTGACAGTGGATTTTTGCAAACTTTTTTTCCCTTAAATTTTCTTTCTATATGAGTCGAGAAAACCGTTCAACTCAGCTCTCACAAAAGCTTCCTTTCTCGAAATCCTAAATCTGATTCTAACAGAATGGAAAACAAAAAATCTGCCTTAGTAAAAAGCTCGAAAATGTTTTGAGTTTGAACGAAGCTCACATTCAGATAGTTAGTGGACTGTTTTTCTTCTGATGATTAATTCATATTAGCAAACGATTTATACGAGTATACCATATAAACGGGCTCGTTTCTATGGAAAAGCGTGTATATTGAGAAATGGGTTAAAAAAAATCTAAAACTACGCATTTCGCCAGTTTTTACTACATTGGAATACTTAAACCTAGAACAATAAAGAGATTTATTCATCGCGAAGATTAATATTTAATGACCATCCAAGTCATTACTTGGAAAAAGACATCTGGTACAGCGAAAATACTCAGATTTTTTTCCCTTGTTGTTCCCAAAGCTCTCTAATCACAAAACCCAGTTAAACAGGGTCAGTTTTGTTGAAGCTTTGTGAGAAATAATGAAAAAGATCCGCAAGGAACGAGGTCACCTTGTAAACAAGCACGCAATCAGAGACAGGCACATAAAATGGATAAAGCTGACTGTCGTGAAACTCAAATGACTCTGGCTGGCACACGCCTATTGAAATCTTCTGTAAGCATGGCCTAAACTGTAAACTATCTTTAATTCTTTAGGAAAGAGATACCCTTTGGCAACGTTCCGAATATAAAGGAAATTGAATATAATTTTATGTCAAAAATTGGCTCTTTTGTTTATCCATGCAGTAAATAAATCCGTTGGGGTTTAACCGAGTACTTTCTAAACCTGAATTCAAATAGGCAAACCATGAAGCCGAGGTTCGAAGTGATCGGATGAGTATTTCGGACTGATTATACTTCAACTCGAGTAAAACGAAAATGAGGTTTATAAAAATTTCTAAAAGAACATTCTATTAACAAAATGAGTAATTATCTTAAAAATGAAATAGAATGTATGAAGCTAACGAATAATAAATCAACAGCAAATCTTCTGCTTGGTTTGCTGTCAGGTAAAAAGGTAAAGTGGTCTCACATACGATCGGTATGGAGCGCGCTATTCGTAAATCGTAATTCAATTTGGGCTTCTAGTCAGATCACTTTTTACCTCAACTCGAAGCTAATAAATTCTGGCACGTAAAACGCTTCCATCATAATACTTATACTCCTTATCTGTACTCAAAGCTATAAAATAGCTTTCTTTCATTATTTTTTTCTGGAGTTTATGGAGACCCGTTTGTTGATACTGAGGCCATCAACCTCAGAACTGTCAGTATAGCAACATTACCCATGTCCTTATGATATAGATGTATCATCCGCAAAGTTGCAAACGTTTTCGCAAACAAACACATAGAAAAGATCCTAGATAGAATTATTAAATAGTTCAGAACGGAGCCTTAAATCATTTTATAGCCGATGATAAATACACAGAGATCTATGAAAACGGAGTTTCTGTTGAGAAAACTACTTGTCAAAAACCGAATTACCTCCGGATGGGGGACGTGAAATGCGTGTAGATTGGCGTGGCCAATCCAAAGTGGTAAAAATTATCTTCTGTCTCTGTCCCAGAACAAAGATAGGACGCCCTCGTCATGCAGCGAGTAGTCAGAATTCTAAACATGGTGTCTACGAAGGGGTCATCACTCTTAAGCTGATCCAAAGAAACTTGCAACAACTTGCCCGTCTCAACGACGATTTTATGGTTCTGTAAAATCAAAAATAATCATTCAGGTCACTTAATAAATAATCAAAAATAATCAAACAGTACCTCAGCTTTTCGTCTTTCTTTAAAAAAATTCAGGCTATGCATAAAGAACATAGTTAAAAGCTAGAAAAACAAATACTCTGAGAAGCAAAGAAGAATAAGCGGGTGGTAGTGACAAATACAGGCTCTAAGGAAAAGCCAACATTTACCCGATCTTCATAGTAATGTTTCAATTGAAACTGATCATGCATCGTTCCTACTACAAAAAATGTGAGACAAGCAAGGAAAGGACATCACTTTCCTTCATATAATGTTCAGGTTTAGAACTCAAATTCTTGAGCCAAATTCGCACCATTTCCATGAAAAAACGCATGTTTCTTTTTCTTTCTTTCCTTTCACTTTAAAGGCTTTCTTGTGGAAAATTATGGACCTTAACATGCATGATAGGCCTTAACATGCAATAGTAATTTCTGCAAAAGGGCAAGGACAAAAATTCAGTATTCTTTATGCATGCAAAAATCAGTATGGTGACTTTTTGTCATATCTAATCTCTTACCTTCCCTTCACCAGCCTTAATCAACGGCTCAAAATAGCTGGCTGGCGGTTGCCTATGGTTTCGGAGAATGGCGAATTGTGGAAAGCATTCATAAATCTTCTTGGCGACGGAAATGTTTGCCAGCAACATAAATTCTTCAACTAACGAGTTCGTTTCCCTGTTGAAAAAACACAATAAGCATAAAATTTCTGCAAGACTTATGACAAAGGCCTAACAAAAAGTCCTGGAGCAATTAAAAATTTCCGTAGTACCCTACGGAGCATTGCAGAAGCTTCCAGTGGCATGAAAATTTCGCAAAGTTTGATAAAGTCATGATCATTATCAAACAATGAAAATAATTCTTGGCAAACTTTTGTTAGATTTACTCTATCGAATCAATTCTCTCTACCTGAGCTGAAAATTCAATTGCGTCCACAAATTTGCTTAATTGAATCGGTTAGGATCTCCCTTCAAATCAAACGTTGTACAATGTCGCCCTTAAAACTGCAAAGGTAGCTACTTCATGTAGGTGTCATGTAGCACAGCATATAATAGGGTAAAACTTTCTAACAACATTGAGGAAAGATAATCGGTATCATCACTCGAATAACAAAGTAAAAAAAAAACAAAGAACAAGATTATGCCCATAATGAACAGAAAACCTTGCGTTAACTCATCAGGAACGAACAGAATTGTGAGCGTACTGTTAGGAAAGCCCAGTGGTTAGGGCCATAGACTGCAGATCAAAGGGCCTATGGATGAAGTCCCCGAAATTACCAAATTTTCACCCAGAGTGAGGGGAATTCCAGGCATAGGAATCACGAGGCATGGGCACATCGAGAGAAAGGTCCAGGACACTTTTCGAAAAGCATAGCTTTCTTTAGTGTCCTAAACCTTCCTAAGGAAGCAAGGTAGAAAATAAAACGAAGTACGCACATGTGTTCTTTCGTGATTAGGTCGATAGGGTCATGGGTCTCACTGTCCAAGGCGAAGCGAACTTCCGAAGACGCAAGAATTAGGGCTCTAGAATGAAAGAGAGTTATTGAATTAGGAGTTACTTAAACAGTTTCCATAAAAAATTCATTAACAAAATTTGTAAAAACGCTTTTAGTGAAGACAAATTGGTGATAAAATGTGAAAGGTCTACACGATAGATCCAGTTGGATAAGTGCATTTCTTGTTAATCCACAAGGACCATTGAATATGCTTCGATTAAATTTTACTTAGATGACTTCATGCGCAATAGAACTGATTGAAATACTCAAGAAATTTCATAGCAAGGCGCTTGGTTGAAGTCTAACTTGTTTATCCCAAACCAATGCGACTGATAAGTCGGTACTGATAAATAAGTACTGATGGGTCAAACAATCAAAAGAATCCGCTTCTTTATCGGAAAATGAAAGAAATGTTCTACCCTTTATCGTGTCTACCCTTCTTCAATATCTTTGCCAATGAATTCAGGTTGCGTAAGGAAGCAGCAAGGTTATCCGTTCTTGAAGGATCGTCTATAATGTTTTGAGCCTCAGCATATGTCAATGAAGCCTGAAATATTATAAACTTTTATTTTACATGTAGGTAAAATAAATACCCGGAGAAATCGGCGCAAAAAAACGCCAATAGTATATATATCATATAAAAATAGTATAATAATTTTGTATATTATATGTAGCAATTTACAATAATGATAGGCTATTAGTACAAAAGATAATGTCAGCTATACAAACAATATGAGCTGAATTAATACTAGCTAAAGCTATAAAAACATAGCCTTGAGGTGGATTGTTCCCATAATTTACAGCTGAAATTTTACTTCTTCTTTAAAAAATCGGTAATGATTGTCTCGTGTGCAACGACTCTTTAGCTTCATGTGGCAGGAACTGCCAGTGTCTTTGCCCATAAACCAAACAATTAACTGTTCCTATCACGAATGTTATTTGGCACACTTTTGGTGACAAAAACGTCTGTCATTAAATTGTGAATAATGTGTTAAGTGTGAAGAAATTCAAGAATCGAAACGTTTTCATGCGAAATAGAATCGAAATTTTATGAGCTTTTTTGATAGTCATACCTTGGAAGCCAAAATACTTTTAAAGAATTCTGTCTTCACGATTTCAGCATTTGGTGTCAGCTCCCAAACACAAGAAAATGCAAACCTAAAGATAAAATGCAAGCGTTAAACCTTAAACTTAATTTATAACTGTATCTACAATCTTGTCAAATTCATACCACAATGTTATACAAACATTTCAGATAATCCTTTTCACTTTATGGAAAGCACGCAACGCGTGATTGATTCCAAGGAAATGTTTTTAAAAACCTATACTTAAACTTAAATTGTGTATACCATGCTGACAATATTGCCTGCCGAAATCACCCTGAACACCTGCATTTAATGCTGAGTTCTCTGCTGATGAAATAGAAAAACTTAGGTTTTATTGACATTTAGCTTTGAATTTGTACTAGAAACCCCTCCCTTGGGCATCATCAATCCCATCACTTGAGCATTATATGCCTGCTCCTTTGAGCACTACCAACCATTCTTCTTGGGCATTACCCCCCATTTAAGCATCAAGAGAGCCCTCCAGTTTGAGCATCAAGAGACCTCCCGTTTGAGCATCACGAGCCCCTCCCTTGAGCAGTACCACTCCCCCCCCTTAAGCATCAAATAAAAGGATACCTTTCCACTTTGGATCTCAAAGAACAGAGGTCCGAACTGAGCAGAGCTGGAATCATGTCAATTCTCTAAAATAAATGAATAATGATAAACTTGTACATCATTATGGAAAACAAATATTGTAAAAATAGGATCCAACTCCAGATATAATTTTTGTCATCAAAATTGATGCTTCTTATAAAGTACTGTACATTTTCAAAAATTCTAAATAAAATCATTAGCATCGACAATAGAGTCAACGGTTAAGCATTTGAAAGGACTTAATGATTTGCCAAGGGGCCAGAGAAACTAGAAAATCCAAAATATATCCAATCTTCGTGTGAATAGATGAGGCAAATTTGATAAAGAGGATAAAAGTCTAAAAAAGTCTAAATTTCATCTTCTTTGTCAAAACCATCCTAAACTTCCAACCATCAACGTTTTAGGTATCTCAGCAAAAAGGAACAGCCAAGATGGCATCATTTGAAAATTACAGTCAATGTTTCACTTTCATTTAATCTTGTTCATCAATATCGTCCACGATAAAGGTTCATTTCTGATAAACAAGCAAACACGAAGAGGGTTGTCCGGACAGAAAGAAAACTAAGATCCGGAATGATTCTTCTGGATGAGAAAATTTCCCTTTCAATCTCTTACTAAATTCTACGGTTTCATTCGTAAGGTTTCGGATATTTGGTAAAATTATCGGAGAAGGCCAGCGATGTAAACAAGTTTGTTGGGTAAAAATTACCCTGTCAGCAAGGTAAACTGATGTTCCTCTCTTAGCCGCCGCCATGTCGATGTTGGTTCCGGGCTTTATAAAGTGGGTTACATCAGCAATGTGCACCCCAATCTGAAAAGCAAAAATCATTTTTATCCTCATTAGCTTTGAACTGTTTTTTTTGCTTAACACGAAACTGAACTGTAGAAATGAAATGGGACAGTTCTTTCAAGAAATCTGATAATTTGGTGTGAATTTCAGGAAATGTTGAACATTTCTAGCACATTTAAGTGAAGGAATTTAATTTGGAAAACGCATAAATCGAATGTTTAATGGCTTGATTGGCAACTGATATGGATTGTTTTTAATACTTGTGCAAAGATGCAATCATTGATTGTAATACGCAATAACAACACCAAGGGTGCCATGAGCATGCTAAACACGACGCTTCTAGCTTTGAAACAACCTGTCAAAAATGATCGTTATTTAATTAAAAAATGTATAGTCGCTACAAACAGCGTGCATTTGGCAAGATAACGATTGACGCAAGGCCTGTTCAACAAATTGAGGAATATCAAAGTCTTCATTGCATCGTCGTCAATAAGACGTCAATAAGGTGCTGAAATTCAGAGAGGATTTGTTAAATTTCATCAGGAATTCGAAGGCAGGTTATCAATATTTAAGATCATTTGAAAAGAGGATGAAGCAGGCGGCAAACACATGGACACCTATGAATACATTGTTTTAAGACAATCAAGACTAGAAAATAATAGAAAATTGCATTTTTTAGAAATAAAACGCTTTAAGTCAAACAAATCAATTCTGCTTGGTGAGCTAAACAGTTATGTGTTGGCATGAACCAAAATGAATCGACATTACATTTTGTAGTGAGATTTTCTCCCGATCATGTACATGAAAGTGCGTTGAAGCAGCAGTGGGGCAAAATTCGGAGATGAACTTCCAGCCTAAAATCGGCTATCTTACAGCAAAACAAAAGCCCCGCTAGAATGGTCTTTACTTTTCAAAGATTAACAAGTTTTGGGGCCACGCAATACATATGTTTGAATTGAGCATTACGGAAGAACTGGACATGACTTTGCAAAATGGTGAAATTAAAGATGCTCAAAAATTTGTGCAAAACAAACAATTTTCAGTGCTTGGATTTAGCCGAAAAAACTAAATATGTGCAACTTATAATCCCTTTTCGGACAGCAAAGCTTGGTTTAAGGGTCTGCGAATTATTCCAATTTTCGATGCGATTTCGAAACAAGGTTTAAATTTTTTCTAAAATATGAATAAAAAATCCATTGTACTAAGCACTTCTAGGCTAACCTCAAAATTTCCATTATCCAACGTCCTGCAATGAAGCGCGTCATCGATATCAGTGCATCCGGGGGGATCTATGCTACAAATATCAAGTTGGCGCAAATCACGTCGCTCGGCATAATCCTGCAACAAAATTCACAAATCCTAGTCAATAAGCCATTAAAAGTTAACAAATCCTAGATAGAGTTTTTTTCAACAATTCATTTCAAAAATGAACAAATAGTAGTTCTATTTACTGTAAGGAAAATTGTTTTAAAAAGCCAATACTTTTTCAAAGCTTTTTTTAATTTTTTTGTACCACCAAAAAATTGTTTGCAAATTTTATGAAATTTAAACCAAAATCTCAAAAACTAGAAAGTAGAATACAAATGATAGTTTAAGATTGGTTAATTAATGGTAAAACTCAAACAGCTTTTTTAATATTGACCAAGCCCATGAAAAAGAACTAGGCCCATCAGAACAATTACCTCAGGGGTGATTATCCATGGCATTTCGGGTAAATCCTTCAAAACGAGGTTGCTAAATGGCGCGTCCTGTATGTCGTGTTCTAACAGCAAAACTTTGGTTTCAGTTTCTTTGTCTCCGATCTCCCCAAGGATCCTGACGTAGTGACCCTGTCAAAATGTTCAATGTAATTTGTTCAAAATGGAAATATTTACATGAATTATCGATAATAAGCGTTGTTTCGAGTACTTTGAAGAATTATTAATGGTAAAAGGTTAAAGTAGAAAGTAAGTGGAAGGAATATTAAAGAGAAACTAAGCAACTAAACAGAGGGAAATCCACTGACCATCAAAGGTGAAGCTTGGCAAAATGGTCATGGTCTTTTTTAGAAAGCATTATGATAGATGCATGGAATAATTTAAAATAAGAAATCAGGAATACATTGTGACTTATAAGAGTCCAGTAGAGCGCAAAGCCATAAGTCATAGGAAAATGTGTGGAAACTACTGATGAAGAAAACAACACAACACCCATTAAAAGTAATTGTAAAGGTATTGGATGAAATAATTTGAAAGACGGTGCTAATAGTTAACATAAATTTCGGATTTTTACTTGAGGAACATTGAGGAACTATAAATTACAGTTGGAGCCCGACAAGTCTATTTCTAGTTTGCAACTTGACATGTTGCTTTGGAAAAGAGTGTATTGATAGAATTATAAATAGAATCAGGCTTTCAAAAGGTCGTCCTACAGCGGAATCGACCTCCCAAGGAATACTCCAATTAGAGCTTGTTCATGATATACGATTAAAACATTGCCATTCTTTAGGCCCTAACCACCAAAATAGATCACCAACCTGGGGGTACCTTGACGTCCTTGGCCATGCATCGATACTGACAATGATTCTCATTCCCATCAGCCTCTCAGCTTGCCTCGTTTCGATTCTAATCAACGGTATTCTTCGTTCGACAGCCTTGAAGAGGTGACGGGTCCCCTGCAAGAATCAAATGGAGTAGAATTAAACATACTACGGATGCAAAAACATCCAATACCTAAAAAGAAAGCATGAAAATGTATTGTAGATAAATAAAAATACTACCTTTGGATCCCCGGAAGGTGAAATAGCACCACAATACTGCCTCCAACAACGTTTGACAATACCCACAACCTGAAATGAAAAAAAATGCTTCTAGGAAAATGTAATCAATAAAAGGTGTTTTGCATAAAAACGTACCCGTTGATATAAAAATAAAGTTTGGAAGTTTTGGTTTTGTGGAAAAAGTTTGCCTAACACCGCTTGATTATTATTTACTGCTTTCAAGTCCACCCTGGCTCACAGTGCTGGCAATTTGAAGAGCCACAGCTATGGGTTAAATATGGAAGCTAGTGATAGTGGATTGGTGGACTGCAGTGCACGTCACACCTGGGACTCGCAACATGAAACCCACTTGGTGCTGCTGCAACAGCTGACGAGGACAGTGGTACCCGGCACCTAACCTATGAAAAGAGCATGCGCAAATTGACGTTTAGAATGAAACAACGCTGCTTTTGGGAAGAAAGCCTCAGCTTGTGTGCAGGGAGCAAGATCTCCTTGCCTTGCGAAGCACATTCAAAGATAAAACAGCAATTGAAGCATTGTTCCACGCTTCCAGTTTAGATCAAGATTGTAGTTATCAATTAAACTACTACACTAAAGTACTCCTTGGTCACACCAACAAAGTACCTCTCATAATTCTCAAGAGAATGACAAAAAAACTGGACGAGGTTCTAGCAATAAGCAGACCGCCGACAGAAATGAAATAGAATGCTGTGATTGAGAAAGTTAAGCTCTAGACATACGGATAAAACATCGACATAAAACATCAGCCAACATTGTTGCATAAAACATGTTTTATTCGTTTGACCACCATGTTTTACGATGTTTATGTTGTCTTGTGATGTTTTACGATGTTTTGCCAAATTTTTAAAACATATCTTTTGTTCTCATGTTTAATCGACAATATTGCATTCGTTCGGCCGCCCCTCCTTAAAACGTTTGTTTTACTCCCGCAAGCGCAAGAGGTTCAAATTCGGTAACTACAAAGCAGTGACTGTAGGAAGCTGTGCAGCAGCGCTTGACTATCACAGATTTTTTAAATTTGTTTGATTCGTTTGGCCAGGTCATAGAACAGCGTCCAACAATGTCGGTACAACGATGTTTGGTAACGTTCTATGGATGTTTATTTGTTTGGCAAGGCCTTCTCAGTCATCGACCAGAGGGGCAGTTGCAGGAATGGCAAAAAGAAAAGCTCAGCAATTTTAGACACAAATTACGAGAAAGGGGTCAGTGATGATGTCATCAGCTCTGATCTAGGCAAGTGCAAACCAATAAACAGAAAAGTTGATGACATCAGAATTAGAAAGAATCTAACCATGGCTACAAGACAGAATAGTATCTTATATTGTTTAATCAAATGACGCTCCCCTCTCCGCACCATATACAGTTTCGTGGTTTCACGTAAAATGTTCAAAAATCTTACCTTTCCAGTTGGCTTTAAAAGGGAATCTGCTTTTGTCTCATCATCAATCTTAATAAACGAAAAATGAGTCAAATACCATCAATTAAACCTAATATGCACATTGTTTATAAAAATATACAATAATCTATAAATTGAAATGAAAAGAACAGTATCAAGAGCTTCGAGAAGCCGTAACAGAAAAAGTTACATACAATATTAAGAAAAGCATGGACCTTATTGGACCGGAGCCCATCTATGGTGAGGGCTCTCTTTGGTGAGGTCCCTTCTTGGTGAGGTCCCTCTTTGGTGTGGTCCCTTTTTGGTGAGGTCCCTCTTTGGTGAGGTCCCTTTTTGGTGAGGTCCCTTTTTGGTGTGGTCCCCCAATGATATCTAGCTCTATACGAGTGACCATCTAATTATTGAGAACGACAGATGGCATGTTGATATCAGTTAAGAAGCGGTACCAATGTCAACGCTTTCGGGCCTCGCTGTTTCCAAGGGAAAAAATATGAATTTTCCTTAAACTACGCTAAGGGATGATCAGCTTACATGACTAACTTGAATTTGAAATTAGACCGTGAAGGCTTCAAGAGGGCCGCCACCCTGGATCTACAGAATCTGGCTGAATAAAGACAAAAGATCTCAGATTGGACTTTCTTTTGAACGAAAGTCCATGAATGGGCTCAATCAGAGATCAAATTTTATACACCGTTATTCCAATTTTCGACAGCTGACACTACCGCTATCCTCTCCAGCAGAAAAAGGTCTTAAAAACGATACACACCTGGATGTTTCACATAAATAGTTTTGCGCATGCATACAAAACAGTTTCCCTAATCCGAACGATCCGAAAACATAGCTTCACAAAGCTTTTTTGAAGCTCGAGGCAGATAACCATTGGAGCAGATAGCTCTGATGGAATATTTGATGGAGAGTACCTAATAATGATTCAGTAGTTACTGGGTTTCTACAATAGTATAAACCCCAAAGGGAATGCTATAAAAGTTGGACCCAAATTCACTTCAAGCTTACTGAAACGCCAAAAGTACATAATTCGAGTCTGCCACAAAGTCAACATTTCAATAACGTTCTATCAGTACATAATGTAAATAGCATACAACACGTCACTGTGACGTCATTTCAGGGAGCAACCCATTACCCAATATCATAATTCCAATCGCCTTTACAAGGAATTTTGTTTGAATTCTTGACTGGAATATTCCATATGGCAAAAGTTACAATCCTTTGAATTAGTTACCCTTTTTTAAAAATGACGTCTCATATTTTCACTGGTACCGTATGTCAGTTTAAGAACTAAAAACATTTGTTACTTGTTAGCTCCTTCTGACTTTACTTTGAAGTCAGTGTTACATTGAAATTTTCAATTTGTGCCATGTCTCATAATTTCCATTTGTGTTTCGAGGGTTTTAGCCCTATTGGCACTTGTTGACCCTACTGGCACGGGTTCTGGCACATGCTATCCAGAAGATGTTGCTTCAAAGTGAGGCTAGGTAAACCATCGAAAGCTTCATGCAATTTCTAGACCACATGATGAGGCAAATTTTAGGTCGCCTCAGCAATCTGTCTCTAGTGCTAATTTCGTGACCATTTAAGTGCAAAAGCGACCAAATAAGGGACAAAATGGCACTTTTAGCGTCACTGTGACATAGGTGCCATGCCTAATCGTACGTATTTTGGTACCAAAAGATCCACCTCCTGCATGCTCCATCTGTCCCATAGGTTCCGTTTATCCAATATGTTCCCTTACAACACCAGAGACCTTTTAGAAAAGCAAGTTTCCAAAAGTCTCGATGAGTTCCTTTTTGGCAAGACACCTCAGTGCCTTATTTACCCAAAACTTTTATACGTATATGGTCCTTTTACATCAATGATGATTAAAAAAGTATTGTGCACCATTTTATGTTGCTGAGATCTCAATTTTCAGGAACCGAAAATTGGCCATCAGAATATGAAGACACCAGATAAGATAGAAAGAAAATCATTTTAAATATAACAGTGGCTCTAAAAAAAATAGAAATAAATACTGAGGAAAACTGACTATTTCTGGCGTCTCTTCGCTTTCTTCTTCGTTCTCCTCAACCACCATCGAAGACGGCTTCATCCACCTGTCTTTTGGTAAAATCTCCACAGCAACAATGTCTCCATCGACGGATCTGTTTAGATTCGCTAGGCCTTGTATAAATATCTGAAAAAAAGAAAAAGCAATGTGACATCAAATTAGATTTTTCGGCATTCACAAGTTCCCAAACCTATTTGGAAAATATGAAAGCACTGAAAACAGCGAATAGCAACGTGTGAAGTTTGGGGTTCGAGCACAAACCGCTTTCTTATAATTTCAAATGCAGGGTTATCATGCAATCTTCTAATAGCCAAACTGAGTCTATAAAAACAAATGTTTGAATCAAACAACTTTAACATTAGCTTCCTTAAAATCATCTGCATTTCAGATACTGTCCTATCAGTTTGAGCTCAATTTTTAAGTCTTGTTTAACGTTGCCAATTTGAAAGGTGCTGTTTTCATTTGAGCTAGGCCTTTAAGTGTTGTGAGCTAGGCCTTTAAACGTTTTAAACGAATTCAAACCTTTACAGAGCATCAAATGAGTGGCAGGAAAGGCACTGTAAATGCAATAAAAAATCATATTTCTACATACAGAAAAGTTTATATCAAATTGATACCCGAAAGAATATCACACTTTTTTGTTTGTCACGCCACTAGTGCTTCCAGTGTTCATACAAAAGATTTGGTTAATATAAAGGCATATTTTTGTACGAGATTCATGGAACACATTGCATTAGCAAAAATATTCATTCAAATGATTGAAAAATAGAATGGTTGTGTGTTATTGGCTCGCATAAACCGTCCTTGAATCGCTTTGAAAAAGGGTGAATAACGCTGACAGGAAGCAAGCAGCCATGGACGCGTGCTCAAATGCGCAACGTTTTCTTAAAAATTGTTGGGTTATGGCAAAATGATGTTCAAGGTAATGCTGAGAGCGTTTTTATCAAAGTTGTGAAGAAAAATATTAGCAGAAAGACTTCCTCGGTTTCAGATTTGTCTTCTGATTCAAAAAAATTATGCCAACCTCAATTAGTCGAATAAAACTCACACTCTGATTCTTCGCGACGGTTTACACTTTAGTAAAATGTAAAACTAGGACACACTAGTGTAGAGAGTTTATAAGAATTATTTCCAATAATTTTCAATACAACAATATCTTAAAATCAATGTTTTGGTATAGTATATTTTGATTACGAAAATAGAAAAAGAATGGAAAAAGGTGTTAATGTTCTATTCAGGTGGCCTGGGAAAATTAAGCTGCAGTCTACATTTAAGAGCAGAGGTCTGTTGTCATTCTCTTCTGAAAATTAATTACAAATAATGGTACAGTCATCAAAATATTGACGACATCAATCCTAAACTGCTGGCAAATTACTCCCGATTAAGTAGGAATTTCCCATCAGAAAAAATTACAGACAGCAAACCTAGAGAACTTCCTCAAATGACATTTACCTAAAGGATAAAGTTGATGTTTTATGTAGCATTGATCATTAGACAAAATGGTTTCACACTTGGAAATGTCTTCACACTTGGGGATGTTGCAAACAAGCTCAAAACAGTTTGCTGAGTTCAATTTGAGCGAAGAAAAGCCTAAAGATGGTTAAAGTCAAACGTTGAATTTGCTCATCTGCTTAATTTACCTTCAAAAATAGCAGCTTTGGAATAAATCTACATGAAAAACGAAAAAGCCGCTATTGTGTAGACAGAAGAAGTTTTTTTGAAGTAATTTTTGCCCTTGACTCCAGTTGTAATTTTTTTATAGGCAAGCGGCACTGATTGAGCAACCTCAACAGTCATGTGCACGCGTTTCTGATTGGCCTATTTCCAGCCACAACTGGGGATTTGTATCTTTTTCTTGATTCTTTCGACGCTGATTCTGAAGTTTTATACCTTGAAGAGTGTCAGGCGAAATGATCAAGTATCTTGTAAATTTTTTGATTTTTTACAAATTATTACAGAAGAAAGTAAAAACAAGTAAATTTACTAAGATCGTGTTTATCCTGGCATAAATAATATCAACACGTACAAAAATATTATGAATTTTATTCAATAACTCCAATCTTAACTTTTTACAAGACGTTATACAAAATGATTTTTCTTTTGAGCACCGTAAATGGGGAGTGACTTTAACCACAATAGATTATAGGTTCTTTGTAATCTAGTGGTCAAAGTGATCGCAGGTTTCTGCGAAGCTTCGACAAAGTTAAAATACCACTTATAATATTCACTGAAAGTGATATTTTAAGTTGCTTGATTTGTTTTCCAACAACAATCACTTTGTTTATGCTGTATTAGATGATCAAGGAGAACGTTATCGAGCATAATACTCATAGTTTGTTTTCAAAGTCAAAGTTAGTAGATCTGAAAATCTATCATAGCTTTGATTTAATTTCATATCAGTACAAGCAAACTAGATAATATTGAAGTGTTGATGTATCCTACATCTTGCTCTGGGTTTCATGTTTGCTGCTCATTTTTTTTATCTAGTAGTTCATACAACATGTAAGAATACACCAATTCGATTTGCGGTCTAATTTTGAAAACAAAATCTTTGCCCTCAGATTCGGATTGAGAGCAATGGATACAATACATATCAATTTCCAGTTTATGGTTTTCCTTCGTCTTCAACAACTAAGATATCCAGCTCAGCCTTGTTTTTTTCCCTTTTGCCCTCTACTTCCAAGAAACTTTAGATCCATATGGGCTGAATTAATGCTTTTTGGCTTTTTGGCTTAATGGCTTTTTATAATTTCCACCAATTATTTCTTTCTAACGTTCCAGCGGTTCCAGTTGGACACCTCAATTTTCAACTCACGCTCGATCAGAATTTCTTATCTCCTCATTGTGATTGCCGATCAAAAATGTTGCGAACCGTAAACGCTTTCAGTAAATATTCATCCATGGGTTTTGAAAAACGAAGTAAAAAAGACCCATTTTATTTCATTTTTTATAACCCATGGATGAATATTGAATGAAAGCGTCCTATTCAAAAGCAAAATCTCCCGAATAAGACATCAAGACAAACAATTTAGGTGCCATTTCACCTACCGACCAGCGATTATACTAAGGATTTTGTGGACCAACTGACCAACAACCATCTCATGAAGTATTTGAGGTGTCACATGCTCTACGCCCCCGCAGCGATATAAACTGATCAGTACATAAGAAAGGGAATGAAGTGACCCAATTTTTATCTACAGGCAATTTGGGTTATTCAAGCAGTCTTACCGTAAATCCTCGAATAAGCCCTTGGGGCCTTATTTGCAAAAATGATTTTTCTAGGCGAGGGCTTATTCGAGGGGAGGGGCTTATTCGAGGGGAGGGGCTTATTCGAGCGTGGGGCTTATTCGAGCGTGGGGCTTATTCGAGGATTTATGGTGTTGGTATTATCAATTTCATCAAACAAAGTCATCTACAGTAAAGAAAGCTTTCCAATACTTTAAACGCTTCACTTTAAATCAAGAAGGCTATTGATGCTATTTACGTACAACATATTTTTTCAAGGGTGCTAGCTTTAGCTTTTTTTTTCATCTCGTTAACAAGAGTTGTAAAATCTCGACATTACACGGGCCTTTTCTCATTTCAAAGTTTAAAATGTTAGCTGTGAAAGATTCTATTCCAATCAGGTTCCTTCGAAAATTTGTGTTGATGCAAATCGTATGAATTTTCTACAGGGTGAATTCCTAGAAGGTGAACCTTGTAATTTTGCTCTACATGCCAACTCTGCATTTTACTTTCTTTCCCTTACTCCCACAAATGCGTTAGTTGCTAGACGCTATACTCGACACCTTTAGCTTAAAGGAGCGCGAGGGGTGTGTCACTTTTTCCAAGAGGTTTCTAAGATTTTTCGCAGAATTTTTTGAAGGTTTTTTTCGAAAACAAAAAGGTTTTTACCAAAGGCTTACGAGATTTTCGTGAAGCGATATGCCCGTCAAAGGCATACGGTATGTTCGGAAATAGAAAGATCTCATAATTGTGAGTGGTCTCTTTCAGCAAGAGGAAATAGAAAGAAAGGGACAGATAGACAATATGATAAGCAAACTCGCACAATTATGGTTTTGGGTAAAAAAGACTTACAACTTTATCCTTTGAAATTCTATTTGACCTTTTTATTGATACCAAGAAAGATATTAAGAAAAAGCATGATTGTAATTTAAAAAGGTGAATAAAATTCGATTAAGAAAAGTGCCTGCCGAAATTAGGAGCGCTCGCGCAGATGAATGAGTTCTGCCCCCTCCCCTTTATGTTTGACCTCCACAACATGAGGTCGCTTTATTTTGAGAGAGACTTCAAGGAAACATAGATCGAAAGCTAAAGGCCGCTTACCGATTCATTTTCAGAAACTTTTACTTGTCCTTCTAGGTAATTTTCCCTGAGAAAAAAAACAAAATCTTATTCAAAACAAAGATAAAAAACTCGTCGGATGTATTACACCTTAGATATAGGGTAGTGTTGACTGAAAGTAAAATCCTTTATGGTCGGCGGTGAATACAGAGCGAAGAATTACAGAACACAATAGGCGTTAAAGCATGACGTATATCAAATATTGCCATTAGGACTTACCGTAAAATGTCCAAATTTAAAAAAAGACGATAAGTGGATAAATAGAGAGGGGGGGGGGGGCTGGGAGGCACCCTTATCATACATTGACAAAAAATTGTGGTTTGGCTTGTGACTTTTGGATGGAACACATGAAAGCAAATATCCACGTACAACTATTCCACTACAGGTGACAAACGTTTGTTACTGATTAACAGCTGATAACGCCATTGGAACAAAAATTTTGAATTGTTTGGGCGGCGCCCTATTTTACCCAAAGAAACAAGTTTACCCTAAATCTGGCAAAGAATGTTGGTCTAAAGAGGATGTCACACCTTTTTTCAGTTAACCAAATTAAGCCAAAGTTCTAAATGAAAGACAAGATGCTCTTATGTATTTCTTTATTCTGAAGGAATGTGTATTGAGATGTATGGCACGAGCTTAACGTTGCGTTGTAATTTATTGCTTGTTTTTATACAACGGGAATATACAAAAGGTATGTGTCCAGCCTTTCAATCGCTTAAGAAGCATAGCAAAACTGAGTAAAAATAAGCTTAATAAACTCACCTACTTGCACTGAAAGATCCCTAGAACAAAAATAAATGACGCAATAAAATTACTTCATTGTTGGCTCAACATAACAATAGTTTAATATTACCAGTAGGAATAATCCTTATATTAAAAATACTTTAATATAACGGAAAAATTTAAAGAAAACGATCTTAATTAATTTTGGGTGACTAACGATCGAGATACAGAATAGTTCCGTATATGATTTCCAGGTTCATCCAGCATTCACATTCTCGATCATTTCAACTTTCATTAGGGCACAGAAGGTTTCGTTTAAACAGATAACCGGGTTTTCATTTCATCACACTTCATACGTAAACGTCAATTTAATATGCACCAAGCAACAGCGAACAACCACCAAAAACTGGTTTACGCAGTTGCTTGGTGCAAACAGAAAGCTCCTTGAAAAGGCGATTGATAAATTTTGAAATACCTGAAAGTATTTGCCTGTTCTTAGTCCAACTTGAATTTCAGAGAGTGAAAGATGCTCTGGGAATAGAACTTTCCCATCTTTGATGATCGAATCCTATAACAAAATAGTTTTCATCAAACTTATTATTTGATAAAAACAAGAAAAAATAGACAGAACACCAACCCAGAGAATAAAGACTGTGGCTGGAAGATAAACCAGAGAAATCTTCAGCTATGTTGTACCAAAGTAAGGAAGTTTTTTTAAAACAAATAGAAAAAAGCAAGAGGCAAATCTTGTTACATCTCTTCTTCCTTTGTCATCTGCCTGTGCAAGTTTCTCAAATAGGTCAGGACTCCCAGTAATGCTTTTGATATACGTATGCACTAAACAAAAGAAAGAAAACAGCTTTCTATTAATAACAAAAACGGTGTTTTATTAACTGCTTTTTATAAATTCATATATCAAAGCAACTTTTCATAAAAAGCAAAATATGCTTTATAAACCCAAAAAATAGAATGTGGGACTCTCCTCCTATTTCTCTAAAATAAGCCTTAAAAAGAACAAAAAATAAGTATATAACTTGCCTGTATAAGCCTCAATACCTCCAGAAATAGCAGCTTCTTTGTTTGCAATGTCATTAGTTAAAAGCACAATGGACACTCTATCAGTGGAGTCCTTTTCTAAGCTGCATAACTCAAGGTGTTTGTCATACCAGCTAAAAGACAAAATGATTAACTATAAACAGAAGTACTGGATGGTGATGATACGGAAATGTACCATTACGGCCCTAAATTTATCTGTAAAACAAAACAAGAGGTTAAAGTAAAATTCAGTAGGCTATACAAAACATCCGTGAAAGCATACTACAATACAACATTCTTCTTATTTCTTAAAGGTATATAGACGTTATAACCTTTAGAAATGAACTTGTTAAGAAAATATGAAATTTTACAATTTCTGCAAATGGAACAATGTCTTAACAAAATGGATTATGTTAAGGATATAAAAGAATGAAATGAAAATACCAAACTGCCTGGGCCTTTAATGCTTTCTATTAATCAAAATTTAGATACTTTGGTATACCTTGCAGCAAGTCTAATTGCTCTATCATTTCTGTCATTTGGAGTCTCCCCTTTTAATCTCTCAACATATGTTTCCCTGCAAAAATAAACTACGATTGAGCAAAGAGCAAAATGTAAAAAACACCAACATACATAAAGTGTGGTTTGAAAATGAAAGATTTATTATGAACCCTATTACCCTGCTTTAAGGTGCACCTCATTAAAAAGTGCACATCGCGATATAGGGCAGTGCGCTCATAAGTGGATCAGCTATAAACTTACAGTTTTTGCAAGAAAAATGAAAAAACAAGAAACAGCAATATGGAACAATCAATCTATTTTATTAACGGTTACATGCTTGATAGATAACTTTTCTTGCATTATCTATTTCTTTAAATTGTCCTTTGAGTAGAAACTGACACAAAGACAACCTTGATGAAGAACTGCTGAATGAAGAACTAATGATCATTGATAATGATTCGGATCCTGAGACATTGAATAACTTTTTTAAAATATTCAATTTATATTGTTGAAACATGACCATTAGAATTTTATTAATAGAAATTTCCTCTATCTGAATCGTTTTTTGCACCAAAAAACATGGCAAATTTAGAATACATACCAATGGTGTTCATTGCAAAATACATAAAAATGTTTATCTGGTCTTTCAATAATTTCTCTGATCCTCTTGTAAGTGACAAAGCTTCGACTTTTTACCTGATTTTTAAGGTAAAAAAGCACAGTAAATTGAGTGACAATCTTGAATTTAAAACAAATATGCTGTTCATTTACTTTTGATTTTATCAAATTAATAGCTAACAATATTCATTTAATACAAGATAAAATATTCTAAATCAAAAAATTTACATTGATTACAGGCATGCAACCAAGAATGATAAAAAACAACTTTACAAAAAAGCAACTTTACAAAAAAGCAACTTTACAAAACTGAACAGTTCTTCAAAGAGCATGTAACAGTTTGCTTAATGAATTGAAATTTTCGCAGGATGAAAATTACAATTACAATGCAAGTTGATCATCAGAGAACCCTCTGTATTGAAATATTCAAGACCATTTAAAATTTAAATCCACCTTCTATGCATAGCATTTTTAGTTTAAGAACTTCAAAAACTCCAATAATTTAAATCAATTTTGACTAAACCAAGTAACATCCAGTTCCAAGAGCCATGGGACCTCAGATCTGAAACTGTCTGCCAAATGAACTAAACTCAAGTGACAAACTTAACAGCTTCAAACATGTGATAAAACGATGGGATGGTCCTAACTGTAAATGCAACGTTTGCAAATATAATGATATCGATATCCTGTAAATTTTGTCCACTCATTTAAAAGTTGCTTTTAATATTTAGCTTATTTATGCATGTATTTACTTCCTTTGTAATTTCCTTTTCATTTGTTATACAGTAGATTCGATTCAGATTAGTTATATGTGTATATATGCATATATACACACAGAGCTAGAAACAAAATCGAAATAATATAAGGTTACAAACAAACAAACAAAGTGGTATTAAGGGTAAAAGTCAAAGTTAGAGCTGCCCCCATGTTTACTTCAGAGTCAAAAAATGACAGTCTGCAAAACATCAATAAAGAAAACATGAAAATTACCAGAAACCTATAATAAAAAAATATCATGATAATCATACCCAAAATAATACGCACCTCATCTAAAACTGTTTGAAGAAGAATTACATTTTGAATTAGGTTATCTTCCAGCACATCCAGCTAAAAGTAAAAATCATACTAATCAATTTACTGAAATTGTGTAACCTGACTCTATTTCATATGAGAAAAAAAGAAAAAAGCTAAATTGAGAGACCATACTTCGTAGCCCAATTATGAATATTAAAAGAGCATCTAAAAATACTGCCAAAAATGATAATATTCACCTACTAAACTACAATCTGAAAGATGTTTTTCTGCAACGATTGTTAAAAGCATCTTTATATCAAATATATATGATATATTTGCATCGGTGGTTTTCAAAATTTACAAAAAATGCTAGAAAAGATTTATTTTGTTGAGTAGATTTAGTTAGTTTTAATTAGCTTTATAGATATTTAATACATATATAATTAGCTTTATAGCTAGTATGTTACAAATTTTAAAGAAAAATAAAAAATGCTTGGGAAATAAGTGCATACAAGATAACAGATAAACTCTCAAGGCATTCCATATATGTAAAAATATCACTTATTGCTGAAGCTAACTCAAAATGAAACTCAAAACAGACTTGAAAAAGAGAATTCTGGGTGCATTAAATTTGAAAAGATCAACTCGAATATTTCAGAAATGTTTTTTCACAACTTGAAGCATAACAGTAAAAGTTTCCTGGCTGATGCAATAGATTCATGAATGACTACAGAAAAATTCAAATTAGCTCCAGAAACCAATCAAAGCTGGAAAAGGTGCAAAAAGTCATCTAATAAAGTTTATGGATTGCTAAGACTGACAAATTCTAGTTTTTGCTTCATGTTTTCATCCAAATTGTACCTTGATCAAGGCCTCTCTAGTCAACTTGATCAAGACGTAATGGCCATTGAATATTGAATAGGGGGTTCCAAAAAGAAATCTAAGGAAACGATTTGCAAAGAGAAGAAAAAATCTACCTGCAATTCCAAAATCTACCTTAGCAGGGGTGAAGCAGTAATTGTCAATTTACATTTAATTGGTTGCAACAAACAATTGCATAGGTCCACTGTAAACAATTGCATAGGCAATTCTGATTCCTATTGGTTGGTTGTACCACTGCAGAGCCAAGCTCAACTTCTGATTTGATAAATCAAATCTCATCTTTGCTTGCGCCAAAGATTGCAGAGGTGAGGTACACTCTGATTGGCTTATGAAGACATTTGCATAGGCCAAACAAAAAGTGCCAGCAAGTTTCTGGATTCAAAAAATAGGGACCAGATATATGCCTAAATCATGACTCAACTATTCTGTGCAGAGGCCGAAAGAGAGTCAGCAAAATATATGCAGTGTTGGTCAGCAGTATCGTTGGTATCAATGGGGCAGAACTAGGATGGATGTTGCTAAAGAATTTGCCAAAGAAAGTACTGATTAAAACAATGATAGTTTCATTTTATTATGTTCTTAAAATCTGACTTATGCTTCTGCATAGGTTGCTGTAGTCTGGATCCGCCTCTGTCTTCGGTATGAAATAATCTCTCATTGCAATTATTAAGTTGAATTTCGATCAATTAATCTTTTTAGCAGCATGGGTAAAATATTGTAAATTTTATTATTTAACAACTAACCACTAGTGACTAACAAATTGTGTGTAATACCCATTATTGGATTATGTACAGTAGCACATGGATATAGAGAGAAACTGATTATGTACAAAGAGAGCTAGTTTAATAGTTGTTTGATGTCTTCAATGTCAAACTCGAGAGTTGCAACTTACAACGATTGCGGCTTCGGCGATTCAGCGTTTGTCCCACCGATTAAACCTTTTGTCCAACTCGATAAAATGTTAATAAATAAATGGTCTCCTAGTAAATAGCCGGAAAACTTCGAACTATCTATAGTTCAATTTTAGTTGGGTTTTTTCCGATGATTTCGGAGAAGAAAATCTTACTGATTTGAAAAAATATCCCTTGACAAAAATGTAGATCAAAAATTATACCTGTCGAAGGACCACGTTTGTGTCTGGCAAGATATAATGTGGAAAGTCGCACAAAGTCGAGAACGACTGAGGATTCTTTGACAGAGCTCGTTTGTTTAAAACACAAGTATCGCACTGTTCTGCGCCACAGCCTACATCATCTCTCAAGTAATGTTCCCTGACGATTTTTACGATACCTCCTTTTCTGGTTTTCTTAATGAAAACCTTTGTCTTCAACATGGCTCACTCCGTTTCAGCTTTCAAGTTAGAAGATACATTCGAGCTTCTTGCAAAACGCCAACACGAGGGCTAGGCCAAATGGCCTCAATTTCACAAATAGCCTCAATTTCACATTTTTTAACCACCGGCCAGAGCCGGAGAGGCATTATTTCCGCAAATTTTTAAAAGTTCGGAAATAGTGAGCTATAGCAAATAAAATATGACAATACTTTAGAAGATGCATGCATTGGCACCTCAGTCTTTTGGAGAAAAAGCGGACAACAAGAAACAAGCCAGGATCAAACAATAAATTCCTCATCATATCAGGGCATGTGCGAAAATTAATAAATAGTAAAAACTTTCACTATGTAAATTATCTGTAATTTTATAGAAACTCAATTAAAGGCAAAAGAACGAAATTAGTATAAAACAAGAGTCGATAAAGACTCAAACATGGATAAGAAATGAGTCACACTTTGAAACACAAATATAAAAAGACATAAAATGATTTACAGTAAACAAGGCATTCAATAGCTGATAATTTTAACGGCTGTTAAGGCTCTCTTCTCTATGAGGGCATAACCAAAATGCAAGGGCTCCATAAACCAAAGCAAATATGCTAAGGATAATTAGAGAGTAAAGTTACAAAATAACTTGGGCAAGTAGGAGATAGCGCAAGGCTAACAGTACAACAAATCGCTTTACCCTGGTGACATCAGAGGAAGTTTTTAAATTCGTTTTCATGAAATTATTTTCATCATCCGAAACATTGGTTTTTAAATTTAAGTGTTGATTAGCACTGACTCTTTCAATGTCCTTTTTTCGTTTATTCGGTCATTTGTTGTAGAACTAAAACACTGTCCAATTGAAAACCGAAAGTCAAGGTTGTCAGGTATAACATAAAGGAGTTTACCTCAAATCGTTACGACCTTACCAGGGTAAAAAAGGTTGATACCGATAGCATTGCGTCATAAAATATAGGGAATTTCTTACAGAACAATAATAACAAAACGGCGAGAATTGCTCACCAGGAAGATACCAAAGAACAGACGATTCAACATAACCAAAAGGGACAGAAAACAAAAAGGCAACGAAAATGTGACAACGTTCTTCCGGGTTTTTCTACACTCATCCTTCTTTGATGTCTTCAGACCAGCCTTCGTATGGATCAATCGAATCATCACTTGCGTCCCAAATAGGGCCAAATGGGCTCACGGGGCTGCGGTCAGAGGCTCTTTGCTTGGCGGCTGATGCTGCTTGGGGAGGGATGCTCAGGTCAAGACCAAGCAGACTGCGAGAAATCTGGCCGTCATCGGCTGAATAACTGCGGCTGTTGCTCCAAATAGACGGACGAATTCCTGGGGTTGCCCATTGGTTGTTCTAGAAGCAATTTGAATCATTCAGACATTAGGTTACATCAAGTTGATAAAAATGACGAGAAAATCAAACATTTCATGGCACAAGTAAAAGATGAAATGAAGTTTAACAAGCGATCGAAAGGTTAAACTGTGTCACTCTAAGGTCTACAATTTAACGACATCCAGCTTGGATTTCCAATGGTCAACCCTAACGCAAAATTCAAAACTTTTAAAACACTAGCAGCAAACAAAAAGTGTTGCATATAAAAAAAAACGAAATATCATTGTTGAACTAAAGACAACAAAAAGTTAACGTGACTCATAGAATGGGAGCCTACCTGTTGATCAATATCGGTCAAAGAGCTATCCGCAGACCAGGGATTTTGGATCGAGTCAGTTGGAGATGGATGGCCAAATGCACTGTACAGATTGTCAAACAGCTGCAAAAAAGATAAAACAGCATTTTGTTACTTTTAGGCAATATTGCACTGACTTAGATAGCATGCATGAGAAGCCTCGAAGTGATAGAATTGAACGCGAAAGAGAGTGTAGAGGTTCAGACAAGGAGATGTGTTAACATTCATTTCTATGAATCAAGTGGCTTGGAATAAGTCAACTAGGACCTCAAGGCCAAGAAAGTCGATCCTTATTGCTTACGACGTGTTCTATTTAGAAATTCAAAGAGACAGAGTGGAAGATGACAGCCTGCTAAGCTAGTAAACACATACAAACAATTTATGGACACGAGAATCTTGTGCATGATTAAGATGCAGCGATTATACTAATTTGTGGTGCTTTAGAACGTGTATAAAGCCTATTTTCGCCTTGCAACAGTCATTTGGTTGGCAAAAAAGCCAAGTTGGATGAAATGTTAAGTAAAACCGCATAAGCCACTCCATAGACGCAGACCCCAAAGAAAGTTCTTAAGAAATGACGTCATGAAAATCGGTTTTTAGAATTTTTGTGTTTCGGCCAAATAACACGAGAGAGCACCAAGAAATACTTCTAAAAGTGAAAAATCAGTCAAATGTGCTACTAATTGGCTGAGAGATGGCAATATGAGCACAGGCTCTTTCCCCATCAGTTCACTCTAATTTGGTCTCCGTTCAAAAGTTCATAAACCAGGCCAAACTAACAATAATCTTTCAGTAAACTTCAAACTTAATCTTTAGCCATATCTCACCGAACATTTAACTACAAGTGTTTCAAGTGCTTCATTTTCAGGTTTTGTGATCAAAAGCAAAAAAATATGAAAATAGATTTATTAGGACATCGCAACTAAATAGAACTTTAGTCTACTTGAGAAATTCGGTCTATGTCAGGTACTTTTAGGCCTTTGTTGAAAATGTAAATTGGAATTCCTTCTTTAATGTATTTACTCTTGTGTATATACATGATCTACAGACACTTTACCTCTGAGTGACGTGGTTTTTCAGAATCCTGTTGTGGCATCAGAACACTATATCGATCAGATGGGTAGGCCCGGTTTCTCAGCTTGTTTCCCAGGTCCGGTTTCAATTGGTCATCTTTGAATGAATTCCATCCGTTTTCCCTACTCTGGCTTGAATCCCTGGTCGTGATATTGTCAAATCCCCATATGTCCGCTATTTTCTTCAGTCCGGGAGGTGGGTTTATGCGTCCACTTTTCCTGCTTTCGAGCCACGATAGACGATGTTCTGGTCTATCACGGAAAGGCATCTTGACTGGAGCTTTCATTTGTGACTTGGGTATAAATTCCTTACTCGATGGGTCAAGATCCGACTTCGGTTGCTTGCCTTTTTGTGTCCATATCTTCGTTCCGGGTGCTTTTTTCAGTTGTTCCAACTCTTCATCGGGCGTCTGTTTGGTTGCTCGCAAGCTGCTCAGATTATCGTAAAAGAACATCGAGCTGGTATTCTGAGAGGTCGTTGTCGGGTTCGGCAGAGTGGGTTTCTCTTTTTGCTGTTGTTTTGTATCTTTTCCGGTTCCGGGATGAGTTCCGACTGCCAAGCGACGAATATATGAACTCCAAGATTCACTCTCCGTTTGGGTTACTGATTGAAAACTGACTGGAGATGAGTTTCCGGATGAGCCTTGTGAATCGTCTCGAGGTAAGGGCGATGGGGTGTTCTGTCTATTAACAGGCGGACTTGGACCTACAATGTGCATTCATTTGAAGTATATTACAAAATTGATTCGGATAAACAATATTTCGTATTTCACTTGTGATTGGCTACAGTGAAAGATTAATGATTTCAATATTCAGAACTCACTGCAGTGTAAAAATAGCGTCTACAAGAAAAGAACTACTAAATATTATAATTGCTTGGAACACTTGAGAAATTCGTGAAAATTCCTGCCACATCAAATGCGCACATGAAGCTACGATTATTCGCTTTTCTATGACTTAACTTTATCATTTGTTCCTCAAAATATTTTCTAGCTAACAGAAAGCACTGTCACGCATCTATCGGAATTTGCCATCTCAAAGGCACTATGTTCTGTTAGTCAGCTGTTAACGTTAACAATAAGCAGTGTTGAGCCTTTACAATTGAGAAATCATTGGGAACAATTCCCAAATTGCAGATTGGAAGATGTAACAACAGTCTATTATCAAATCCAAGCAATAGGAATTTAGGTGACCACCAAAATTCATCCGTGCATAGTCCGAAAATGTGCGTTGGCGGCCCTAAAAATACTTGAAACTCCGTTCCTATGTAACAACACTTTTTGCAGCTGTGGTATTATGAGCGGTAAAATAGACCTGGATGGAAACATGATACTTGTGAAATCACAGTCTGGTCCTTGACTCCAAACAAAGCTATACGATAATTAACTACAAACTTCGAACTCTTTATTAAACTCGACCGCACATCGCTACCCAAAACGATGGGCTTGAATCCAGTTCTGGCATGATGCATGACACGACGTGACATCATAATCGAAAAGCCCACGACTCTTGACGTAATAACTCTCAACAAATGCATTGACACTGCTTGAAATCATTGCTGGAAAAAAAGGAGAGTAAGTGGAGTACCTCTCTTTCCCACGAGAAACTTCAACATTGGGTTTTCACTGCTAACAATGCTGCTGTAACTGCTGCTTCGGCTGCTTTCACTCAAAGATTCCAGTGATGTCGGCGTGCTTCCAGCGGACATGGTCTTTTCAAGTTTGCTTTTCCCTCTTTTTATTTTGGAGCTGCTGTTTCTCTCGAGTGCTGCCTCAACGACGGCCGCAGCGATTGCATGAGGCGAGGTAGGTGTTTCCGAGTGCATTTTTCCGTTTGCATCATATATTACCTTCGGGAAGGACGGTATATCAATGACAGAAAAACACAAAAGCAACATTATTTTTTCGAGCATCATATATCATGAAAATGCTAGTTGTACATCAAGTACAAAAATTTTCGGCTTGACAAAGTTTCGGAAAAAAAATAAATTTGAACAAAAATTCAAGTTATCCGAAAGTTTGTCACGCCGAAAATTTTTGTACGAACCACGCATGCGTGATGCTCATTGAACGAAGGAAAGTTGTCTGCAATCTTTAAATATTAGTGTCTGCAAAAGTATTGAAGACAGTCAATCAACCAAGATGACAGCATCACCAGTTCAAAAAATAACATCGTCGTTCTCATCGTCATCAAAAAATCATCAAAATAAGAATTTGAGCCACTTCGGTACTCAGAGTTTCTTAATATTGTCACATTTTCAATAGTCAGAGATTCTGCCAACTTTCTTGAAAATTCAATAACAATTTTAAAATCATGTGTGAATCAAAAACCTGATGTGTATGGTTGAAATATCCAAAAGACTTGTGAAAATTTGTCCGGAAATATTTTCGCCAAAGTTTATTGTTTGAATTGTTATCCACTAAAAACTTTTGTACTTTATTTATGCAACGAGGCTCGTCGTAGCGTAAGGAAGCGTCTCGAGAACAAAATGTGAAAATGTTTTTAAAAAAGTATGTTATGAATACCTCCCTCTAGTTCAAGAAACCAGAGTCTTGTCTATATTATGCTGGTCATTCACCCCGCTTATTATCATCTTGGAAATTCTCTACCCACCCCATCTACTCCAGCCTAGTCCGGAATTCAGAGTGATCACTCGCCACCCAATTATCAATGAACTAAAAATAAATTTGTCTAGAATACAGATGCACATTTGATAGATACAGATGCAGATGGTACAAATCTCTCGAATTATCAGTACCATCCCATCTATCGTAAAATGACTAGCCTTGCTCTTCTTTAAGATGATTTTAGATATTTGAATTTCTATTATTTGAATTTCTTAGGATGTACCCACCTTATTTCCTTGCGCTACCAACTGCTGGACTGGCTGCTGCAATTTCCTTTTCTGTCCCACATCAGTTCGTTTGGAATTATCTTGTTTAACTTTCAGTTCATTTCTGCTTCCTTTATCTCTCCCATCAGGTCTGGGTCCGGAAATCGAAATTTCGTCTAATCGGTCCAGAGAGCCATGATAGATAACCGTGTCCGGAGCTGGTTCGACTTTATTCCCTTTTCTAAGCAATTTGTGAGCCTTGGATTCAACTTTTGTGAAAGCATTTTCTGGAATTTGTTGTGAAGCTAATTCAAAGTCGTACAATTTCATTCCTGATTGGGGTTCTTTTACCATAGGTTGTGCGTGTGTTGTCGAAGTTTGCTGCTTTTTTTGTTCCTTTGCATCCTTCTTTGAGCCGGATTTCGTCTTTTTCTTGCTTCTTGCTGCAAGCAAAGATCGTTCATTTTCCGTGTCTAAAATTGATACCTCCTTTATTACAATATTTGATGCTGGTATTTCCTCGTATGGCCGTCTTTCGTGCATATCGTTATTGCCTCTACGATTCCTCGCTTCTTTCTCAGATCTTCGATGTCGCCCTTGTCTCTGTGAATCACTTCTGGGTTTCTCCTCCAAATGTCCGATACTCTCGTTGCTTCCATGATGCCTCGACTTAGTCTTCTTGGCCTCGGTTTCAGTATCCTTTTTCTCCGACTCGATGCGAAATTCTTTGGGTGCCTCAAATGACGGCGTGGATGTTGTGCTTTTCAACGAAATTTCTGACGTGCTACTTGTTGTCGATGAAGACCTGGATCTGGAAAAGCTTACCGGAGATATTTCATTGGAGCCTTTCTTCTGCAAGGGCAGATGAAGTCCGTTTGATTTACTTGACGAATTTCCATCTGGACTGTCCTTTTTGTCTGGGGTCCTGCGAAGAAAGTTTCAAGATAAAATCTAGTGAGAATTCGAATAAAAAACGTGTCTTTCAAGGATCTTTCTCGATCAACAAATGTCAATTCAAGTTGAAATATCGAAGAGTCATTTTTGTGCAAATAATCTAGCAACTCAAATATTCAAAAATAAACAACTCCAGATATAACAAACTTCATCAAGGGTCAAAACTGTAAGACAGATTTGGATAGAAAAACTGGAAAAACTTAGACTTGAAAATCGAAATTGTCGGGTTGGTGTCCCGTTAGCGACTACGTATTATTGGGCCAAAAACAGTGGATAAAGCCCTGGGTAGCACATATATTCCTCATTAGACTGTTACGGCAATAAACAAGGAGGTTATAATGCAAAAGCCAGGACAAACATAGACAGCACCAAACTTTTGTTCATTAACGCTCACCTTGATTTGATGTTGGAAATCGAACTCAGATTGAAAACGTTCCCGGGCGTGTATATTTCAGATACCCTTCCAACTTTGACTGTTCCGGAATTACTGGCACCAAAGGTACACTGCAGCACATACTTCTGGGCGTCGACGTAAGCTCCGAATATGACAAAAATAAAAACTACAGACATGACGAAAGCTGCAACCATATGAAAATAGGGTTCCCAAAAAGGCCGAGGCAACGATGACGCACACAGTGAAAGCAGGTGGTGAGGGAGAGTTGCGAGAAGCGTAAACTCCAAGACTGTGTTTACTGAAGTTACGATGCGCAATGTTCTCGTAAGGCGTGAAGTCGTAAAGTCTGGCGTAAATCTAAAACAAAAAAGGGCACTTAATAAAAAATAGCTAAACATTGGAAAATTTTTGAAAGACTGAACGATATTTCGTCGCATCTTAAAGATAGCTATTTTTAAGGGAATAAAAATCTACTCACGTGATGTCAAGCTTTCTTGATTTGTTAGGCAAAAGCGTAAACGGTTCACAGTCGAGGATTCTAAAGCCATATCCGCTACATTCATAGCCATTGATGTTGATTGACATGACGCTGATTGGCAGCTGTCCAGCATTTGTCGCAGTGAAAGAGCGCTTCACGGTGAATGATGGGAACGTTCTCGCCCTCGCAGTCGACTCTGATTGACAAACGAAACGTTTAAACTTAAGAAAAAGGCAAGAACTTTTGAGTTAATTGCATATTAAGGGTTTTAATTCAAAACGGAAACTGCTTTTAGGCTCTGAATCTTTTCAGCTCAAAGAAGCGGAGTAGCATGTATCATGCTGCAACAGTTCGGCTTGGAAACACAACCTCAATTGTGCAAATATTAACGGCAATTGCAATAACTGATTTTATGAAGCTAAAAAATGTTCAACTAAAAATAAAGATCCTACAACTTGTATAATTTTTTCACTAGAAATAAAAATCTAAAAATGAAATGCTTGTTGATAAAGGTCCTGAGATAATCTGAAGGTGCTATCAAATTGACGACTTCTTTGAACGATTTAAGCAACTACAATTGAAAAATGATAAAACTAAACTATTATTTTCCTAAAATGTAGCACAGAATTTGTTGAAAACAACAAAATGATGAGAATAGGAAGCAACAGCAAGGAGGATAGAAAAGATATTTTCAAATGTGGATTAAAATAATTGCACATGATAGAAAAAGCGGAAAAATTGGGAATTGAACTTACTATTGCAGTCGTTTAGATGACTGGCCTTCAGCTCGAAAAGCAAGAGGGATTCCAACCCAGGCTTTTTCTCATTTATCGTTAACTGCCCACGTGCACCCTGGCCTTGGACCACGACCAACTCAAGTATCGTCAAATTATTTCTGTAAAATAAATGCAATTTATAACTATATATACGGGCTGCTAGCGCAAGACATGTTATGTGGCAAGAAAACCTGTTATGTGGCTGATACCAGGTCTTCGGCTCGGGACGACAGTTAAACACCATTTACAAAACAATGCAAAACTATTAGAAATGAAGGGTGTTTGATATTACAGACACAATATTAGCCGACCTAACAATCGATTTCCAGTTCCTTGTGAATCAAAAACTGAATGGAATTACACAAACCTTACGACCATTAACGAAGTCTTCAGCTTTTCATCATCAGGTTTAAAACCAATTTTGACAACAGCTTTTGATCTTCTTTTCAGCAACAAAGAGATGGTATCGGGAGAAGGGGAAACGCCAAAGCTTGACTCCAGCAGTGCCCGTTCGTTGGAATTCCCCTGATAAGAATAAACGGGTAATTAGTTGAGGTTGATAGTTACATAGAAAATGTGCCAGAATGCTTTGAAATGAGTTCTGAATATTTTTTGAAAAATATTAGCACAAAGATGGGTCCCGCTTATGTTATTAAACGTGAAAAATCTTGTCTTTTTGGAAAAATGCAAGATAAAAACTTACCGAGACATCTGAGAGCGAAAATGCCGAATGGCCATTCAACTCGATTGAAAAAGGGTCTTCCTCAAGCCTAAAAATGGTTACAAAAGAAATTATATCGAGTATCTAAAGGACTAGTGAAAGTAGCGATGTATTTTAAATAAACCACTGGCCTATTCTAAATTCTAAGAATAACATATAAATTCTAATAGAATAACTTCTAAATTCTATGTCTAATAGGTCTAACTCAAAGACTCTTAAAAGATTGTTCAAATTTTAAACAAACTTTATCTGAAGGAGAAAAACGAGAATTCTTTGATAAACTGTTTTCACAATCCCTTGATCTTTCAAAACTAATTTTTTATACTTACACTTAAAAATGTAAACCTTAATTGCCAGTTCTGTTATGGATGCAAAGATGGGTGAAGATCTAACCATTTTGATAACCAAGCAAAAAGCCGAGCAAGAATGAATGCAGGAAGCAAAGAGGCCAAGTAACAAACCTGTCTGATACAAGGTCCATGGCGCCATTGGGATGTGGGTAGATCATCAACGGCAAAACCTGTACCAGAACTGGCACATCTGCGGAGTTAGTGAGGGTCAATTCTTGTTCCGTGTGATTACCAACGTGCGTAGGTGGAAAACGAACCGACTGTTCGACTAAGGAAGGCCAACTTAAGGACGCTTGGATGGGAATGGAGTGATTTCGGATGACTTCAGAATCTATAACAAGTGTCGTGTTTATTCTGAAAGGTAAAGTGTACACAGATATAAAAAAGCTTTGAATTTGGTATCAAAGATTTCCAGCTAACATCAAACAAGGATACGAAGGCTTGGGATGGTGACAACTGTTATTGTAATGAGGGGGGAGCTCACTCTCTAAAGATAATAGGGAGTTCTAAAGTAATTTAATATCTATTTTATCGCTAGGCTCGATTCATTTAAGGGCTCTATTTATCAAGCAAACAGTTTTCCGTTTAGCAAACTAAGTTAATAACTTACTTTGTTTGTTTTGATTCCTTCAAAGCTTCCCATTTTCCCTTGTTTTTCTCTAATAATTTCAAGTCAAGCTCCCATGTGTCTGCAGGAAGTGAAAGGCTCTGAACCCACTCACTACAACTCTCTGAAAAAGAAATTAATGTAGCAAGAAAATCAATACCGAGCGGCGTAAGAAAAACAGCTCTGGAGAAAAAAAGGGATTTTTTACATTACCCCTAAGGCTTGCACTAACTAAAAAACTATCGTCTTGATTGAAGAACTAATGAAAATTGCCTTGCAATATTCTAAACGTCTCAAATCTTCGAAATTCCAGTAAAATAAGGCATATCTATTCACAAAAAGATATAAATTCACGTTTACAAATGATAGAATATCATAAATCTTTAAGCTAAAATGATAAAATATCCTAAATCTCTCCAAATACGAATTTCCTGATCAATGTGATTCTAATGTCAAATTGAATATTCACTACAAAGTTTTTATTTCTATATGCAAACAGAAAACAGGGTGCAAGACCCCCATGAGCTCAACTGACAAACACACAGTTTAACAAAATATGGACTTACTGTCAGGAGGTTGACAAAGACACAGGTAGCACTGAGACTCACTACCACGTAGTGGATCCAGCTTCACCCATCCAATCTACAACGTAGAACAACGGAAATGACGTCAGGCTCAAAGATCAGTTGGAGTATTGCATAGATATGGGCCTAATAACAAATGTCATGAACGATATAAATGGAAAAAGACTGTTTTGAACTCAAACTTTCAGAGAAAAATATTTTATCAAAACAAGCAGTTATGATAGAAGAATAGTTAAAGCAACTATTAAGCAGATGTTGATTAATAAAACAAGATTGTTGATTTTCTGTCTCATACTAAGAAACGTTAACAATATGCATTAGATTAGAGATTGAGAAACAATGGCGAAGGGAAACTATTTCAGGCGATTAGATCTTCAGTTGCCTTCAAAAACAACATGCCTTCTCGTTTATGCACCAATGTACAGAAGTTTGGCAAAGAGATAAAATTTGACTGTGATTACCTTTGTTCGTCTGTTTGGAACTAATTCTTTGATTTCATTCTCAAATTGTAAGTATGTGAAAGAGGCGTCAGGAGGATGCAGCTTTATATCCGAAATTTTTAACGTATTACTAAAAGTACTTTCTAAATATATTGTGTGGCTTTTTGTTTGTCCCTGCAAAGCAAAGTTATGATATATTCAGCAAGGTTGGGTACAAGAGTACAGTATTTCGCGTGCTGATAAGAGGTGATGTATCTAAAGCTAGTAGGGCTTGTCAAGATGCTTAATGAGAACTTTGTTGGGAACGCCAATTGTGAAGGGAACATTTAACAAAACAAAGGTTTGCCAGGAAAAATGTTGAAGACACGACATGAGATACTATGGGTGGTAACTAATAAAATAGGAAAGAACAACATGTTGGGATTCTCATTTCAATAAATCTTTTTATTTCAACATTAAAAGTATCTTAATAAAAGCTTCATTCTCATTAATAGCTTAGAAAACTGATCGATGTTGGCTGAGGGATTCAAAATATATGCTATCAAAATTATTTCAAGATAATGAAAACAGCTGAATAATTAGATTACAAAAATGGTGAGAATAAAACGGCAACTCACTGGGAAACTATTTTCAAAGTGAATCCTTTTCGGTTTTGAAACAAGCTGTCCAATAACAACTTTTATGAACATTGGAATATGAACTTCCTACAAAAAACAGAAATCGTTGTTAACCCTAAGTTCAAACCCAGATGTTTTGACTTGACCAACGAGCAATTCATGACGTTTAAAGGATGTATAAGATCTCAATCCATTCTATGGTAAATTTTCCGAAAATTAGCAAACTGGATTAAGAAAGATTGTTAAAAGGGACAAATTTTTGGATAAATCTTTAAAGGGTTTTGAGAATTCCTAAAAAGAAGATGGCTAAAAGTGCCACTTGATGTTCTGCTTTTAGTTCCACCTCAATAAAAATATGTCGCTCAAACAAACAGTGGAATGAGGTCTTTGCAGGTAGATTGCAAAAGAAAATAGAAATTAGAAACATTATCATATCATTATCTGAAACAAAACAAAAAAGCAACGCCTTAATGGTGAATATAAGAGATTTCACTTCAAATAAATATTCTTAACTTGGAAGATTTTAATAAACAGACAACAACAAAAAACGAGACAAACCTCGTATGCAGTTTTGAAAATCACTTCGCCTCTATAAACGCCTTCTTTTGCAGGTGCAGTCACGTCAACAGTAAACACAGCCTCTTCTTTGGGTCGTAGAGTTATCTACAAAAAGAGGCGCGGAAATGTGAAAACATCGACGAAACATCAAGATGGAAGGCAGTGAATTCACTGGAAACATGGCAGGAGTATATTCAAGAAGAAAGTTGCAAATTAAAAAGTTAAAAGTGCGGATTTGTTTTCATATCCAGCGATGTATTCTAATTCGCGAAATCTCCTGGGTAGCGGCATTTTTCAAGCACCGTTCCTGTCAGTGCTGCGATATTCTAGACTATACAACTATTTCCGTTCTTGATAAGTAAAACTTTCTAAAGATGTCTTGAAACTGGACTGTCTAATTCTATAATGCTTACCTGATCGCCATCTGTAGAATTAAAACTATTCTTTGTAGTGTTATTCTTGTCAGATGTCCATTTGCTCCGCTTAGCTTGCTTGCTTTTCCGCCCTTGGCGTACGAAATCCAGTCGCAGCCTGGCGAATTCTATATTACCACAGCAAGAATACTCTTTGATTGATACCTGTGAAATGATTGCTCTAGGTAAGCACAACATAAACACAGCAGACATCATACAAAAACAAGAAGCAAAGAATGTTTAAAAGTAGCTTACGAGGTCCTATGCATAGCCGCAAAGAATAAGCAGAGTAACATTAAAAGCTTGTTGAAATATTTTGCGAATTATCAGACAAGAAAAACTTACCTCCACTGGGTTTGTGTTTATGATTCTGAAAGTTATGGTTCTGTTTTCATTTGCCCCGACTGTACCGTAATCTATTGCGTACTCATCTGGACCTTCAACATTGTGCTAAAACAAAGATGTGGGTATTCGTTGACGTTTGCTAAAAAACTGTCTCACATGTGTGCCAAAAGGTAGCACATACGAAAATATTATAGGAGATAACCATAGAATAGTCTCGACAAGTGTGATGAAGAAAGCAGGCTCAGAGACGATGCGCTAACACGACAGGAGAAGAAGAACTTTAAAAAAGAGAAACTTTGAAACTTTTTGAAAAAGATTTACACAAAATTGTGCCAAAAAAGTGCAACATAGGCCTACCCACAATATGGATTAAATTGACTGTCTCAAGTAATACGCACTTTTAGCTACATCTTTTTAAAATTACTAACATACCTTTAATTTCCCTGTGTAGCTATGGACTGGGATGGTGAAAATTGATGCATTTGTGTACAGTCTCAAGGTAGTTGATAAAACCAAATCTGATTGGTTATTCATGTATTTGATTGACAGTGGGGATACCAGTTTGCCTGGTGACACAACGGTTGGATTTATAAAATTTTCAATCTGTAAAGAAATCAAAATGGCATCGTTGAGAACGGCACTGGTGGAACAAACAGTTGGTCATTTCAAATAACACAAGCAAACTTTAATCATAAAAAAGAAAATAAAATAAGAGAAAATTAATATGAGACGAATGATTGTCTTTAAACCCATTTAATTGAAGTTTCTAAGTTTTTAAGTATCTTACTAGAAATTTTCTCGAAATTCCTTGATGTTATGAAAATGATTACAAAAGCAGACATTTTACGATAAACCCCTCTAGAATTGCAATCCCTCTAGCAGCAAAGTAAATTTCCAGGAAAAACATACTTACACCAAAAATATGATTGAATTCAACTGGAATTGTAGCATTGTAAATAATTAGTGAAAAATTGAAGGTATTTGTAATTGTCAATGGTTTGACGATGGCGTTTTCTTGAGAATTTCCAGAAAAAAATGCGGTTTTCGCGACAGAGTAGGCCAGAGTGCTGAAAATGAAAAGATAAAAAATCAACTTCTTGCGGTTAACAAGAAAGCAACAATAATTTATAAAAAATTTCCAGCATTAAAGGTGGATTGTTGACTCAGTATCAACCGCAAAATCTTTCTGTCATCATAACAATCATAACAAAGAAATAAGGATCGGCTAAAAGGGTATAACATCCTAGCTAAAAGGAAATTAGCAACGTAAGCTTGCTTACCCTTGCAAAACATTAGCATTGAAAGGAATTTCTTTCCGTCCACCATTTTTCTCGCCAGTTTGAATAACAATGGTTCCACTTTGTTGCTTTGCTTTGGTGACGTGCAAGGCTGCAAAGAGCAACAAAACGGAAGGTAATGGCAACAAGTGCCAAAACTTTCTTACTTGCAAAAATGACAAAGAACTTTTTCTGTTTCTCATTTTTGTCTCTTAACAGATTAGCTATCCGTTAAATCATCTTATTGACTTGTAAACCTTAAGCCATGAAAAATAGCATGCGAAAATGTCCTAAAACCTCATGTAATTATATTCAAAAGTTAAAGGTCTCAAAAGTAAGTCTTTTCAAATTGGCAGCATTGATACTGTTCTCTAGGGATAAAAACGACAACTAAAAGGCTTGAAATCATAATTCCCTTGACGTCTTTCAAACATCTTGGCTATACGCTGTCACTCAGTTGGAAATTTTCCCATGGTAAACAAAATGCCAATCGATCAACTGAAACAGCCTTAGGATGTAAGGCGTCAGATTCAAAGCACAAATGTGCTTCTCTTGGGAATAATTGCACGGGGAACGGAGTAGTTTTGGTCGCCTTCGTAATTTGAAATCAAGAAGCATTATTCCCTTGATAATGGTAAAACGACTGTCCTACTATTTGAAATGGAACGTGCGAGGACGAGGATACCTGTTATATTGTCATAAACAATTTCGCAAAGGAGGCTGATGGAGACCCAGTTTAACAGAAGAATTAATGCTCTAAAACCTTAAAATGTTATTTTTCGGGTTGCTGATTTAAGCGACGAACGGTCGTTTCGCTATGAAGCGTCAGCCGTTCAAATACAACCGCTTTCATATTTTGTTTTCAAGCCCCTAAGCCTTTTTTCACTTGCCTAACCAAGCATACTTCCACAACCTTATGGCTTATGACGCTACCTCAAAATTCGAAGGTACGAAGCCTGTTTTAGCGGTATGATGACAATTCCGAAATAGTTTAATCCTGGGAAGAAAAAGCTTACCCCTGCTTCATCAGACATGTCATTCTAGCTAGAAACAGACTACCTTTAAATATATATATGCTTAATATTGCAGCATTTTTTTTGTTACTTCTTACCTGTAAACGTTATGACCGCTACTCTGTGATGCTTTTTTGAAGGTTTTAGAACCATTGGCTGCAGAGAGACCAAAACAAATGTTAACGTTCACTCGAGGAGAAGGGGGGGGGAATAGTAACATTATTACATTTAAGCACATATATATATTTATATATATTTATATTATATATATCAACCAAAATTATACTTAATCACAATAAGTCAATTATAGGTTTGATCGTTTATACCTACAAAACAGCTATGAAATGCAAAATTCGAATATCAAAGACGAAGAATCAAGCTGGGACTTACCGTGAATTGTATTGAAATTGCTTTATTTGGTGGTGTAGAAATTACAGACTAAAAGAGACATTCAATCATAAAACGAGCGAATACAAAATTTCTGTTGCAACGAGGAATGGAGAAATGGGGTTACACACAGGGACCGCGCACCAGTCTAAAGTGGAGGGGCTGAAATGGGTGTGCCCGAAATTTTTTGAGGCCACGCCCTCTAGAACACAGAAAAAGCCCCTTTTAGAAAATACTTGCTTATTTCTACTCAATTTTTATATACAGTCTTGTTCTGAGAAGATATCAACAACTATAAAAATAAATAAAATTAGCTTGAGGGTAATAAAACACCACGCTAACCAAGTTAGAAAATAATTGTATAATTAAACAAGATAAAACACCTAGAAAATTAACCAAAAGAGGTTTCCAGTCAAGAAGAACTAGGGTCACGTCGCCTTGATTGAGTATACATAGATACAAATTAAATATTTTCTATTTCGCGTAGACTTAGACATAAAATTTGGCACTGACAAAATCCTCCAGGCTCTACTGATATATATTTCAAAATATCAGGTAATTGGTTCTACAAAGTTTCTTGAAAAAGCTGCGATACTTCTTAGTTGTCTTGACGGCCTAAATTTCTGGCGTCGCCCTGATTGGGTATATGTTTTCCGTATGTAAATATTAGCTCGCACGAATAAAAAATCAAAAGAAAATAAGTGATTAAACACTTGCATACACCTTTAAAACATCCTTGCATGCCAATGTTTCATTGAATTTTTTTTTATCCGCCGATCTGGCGCATGCAAGATTGTCGCTTTCGCAAGAGCCAAAACAAGGGGAAAATTAACGGCTTTGACAAAGTGCAATATTTTGGCCGAAAATTGTATTCAAAATGTATCAAATTTGCTCTAGAGTATTTTTGTTTAAAGATATTTGACAATTTGAAATTTACAGGTTTGGTTTTGAGAATTAATGCGAAAAAACTACCGAACTGAAACAGCCGTTTTAATGTACCCAATCAGGGCGAACTTAGGCCAACTCAGTCAGCTTTGTTTCACTCCTCTCTGTGGCAAAACAAACTGAAAACTGAGCGATTTGTGCAAAGATGCTTATTCCTCATGCATGATATGTGCCTAAAATTGCTAGGTTAGCAGCTAAAACATGCTCGTCCCTTTAAAAAAATAATTATGAAAAAAGAGTACCGAAAACACCCTACGCAAAATGTATACATATACTTCTTCGTTTCAGGTGAGTTATTTTCTTGTCCAATTATTCGTTCATCATACACTTTGATAAATGGCTTATACACATGATTTCGCGCGTTTTTGGTCGCAGCTTAGCCCCAATCTCCCAATTTTTTGCAATAGTTGAGGCGATGTAAATGTCACGTTTCCGGGTACATAATCAAGGCGACGCGACCCTTCCTTACTACTCAATCATGGTCCTATCACTTCTAAACTGCTTGAAATAAAAAGTATTAATCAATTTTCTAAAAAGTACAATGTACAACATTTGCCATGCTTTTGAGAAACAACAAAAGTTCGTACTGAAACTTACAGAAATTGGAACTGATCTGTTTCCAGTATTTATCATATTAAGATTTAAAGATTTTGGTTCATCTGTTGAAAGAAAACACAAACAAGTTATAATATGTGATAATGTCAAAATGTCAAATTGACATCAATACAAAACCCAGGTTTAGCTAAATATGCGCGTTCACTGGAGCTATTAAAATGAATTTAAACATCGTTTTAATCCCTAGTTTGGAAATTTTCCTTGCGATGTTTAGACGAAAGTCGCCATCTGTTTCTTCCAGACCATAATTTACTTTAAAAAAGAAAACATATTCGCAATGAACTTCTTCTTTAAGACCTATGTTTTGAATAACGCTGGGTCAAAGTTTTGTTTCTTGGAAGTCAGACATTCAAATATTTTTCTTGGAAGTAAAAATTGAGCATTCATTCATCGACGATTTGGGCTTTCATCAACATTGACTTAAAATAGAGACAAAATATGGGCTGATATTCGGATAATCATTTGCAAGAAATCATAAACGAGCAACCGAATCAGATGGACATTACAAAGGCCAACTGGCTCCTTTAAAGAAATGAATGAAATACAAACAGCTCATGTGATGATACTAAATCGATTTCTGTAACGTTTATCGACGTTTCGACGATTCGAGAGATCAAGGGAGTATCATTTAAACAAAGAAGGGTTTAATTTATTTCGAATGCGGTATGCAACGCAAGACCGTTGAGATTAAGAGCAAAAGCCACACTAAAAGACGATACAAAGAACAGCGAAAAGAATATACAAACAAAAGCAACACAAGATACAGCCGCCTGTGAAATTTTATAAAAATGCTAGCTGGCGGCCGAGGCACGCTCCGCGGTTGCCACTGCACTACTAAATGGTACGAGGAACGAGTTGATTCCCTACATAAATTTCGCTTCTGCATGGCTGACGCACGCAGTTCTCGTTTGAGCAATCATTTCAGCAAATGAGAAAGCCAAACAATAAGGGAACGCTTGTTGTCTAAATCTGTCTCGACACAACAGGTTTTTGCCAAAACATTTAAATGCCTCCCTGGCAGCCAAAACAACAATCACTTGACCAGAGACAAAGAAATAGAAAAATATTCCAAAATCATGGAAAAATTAGAGGGAGCGCTGATGCCATTCATAAAACGGAATATGCGTAAGCATTCCTCGTTGCAAATGTTCTGTAAGAAGAAATCGTTCTTCTTCATTTCTGGTCAAACAAACCAGCATGTGTTAAGGTACCCCCCCCCCCCATCCATTATATGATTTTCTCTTCCTCGACCCCCCCCCTGGTGATTTAGAGAAACAAGACCCAAGGCATTCACAACAAATATTTTACCGGGTGTCGCTTCACGGCACAACTTCAGAACATGACAACAAGGCCAGACGTGTCAACTAGCTCAGACTTGCAGAAGAAATGTGACCATATCCGGGATTAGTGGCGCATTTTTGACTACGATCTGGAAATAAGCCTAAAGCCCGATTAATGAACTTTTGAAATAGAAGTAGGAAGTGGATTCTATTGATTCTAAGCGACATCTGAAGCTACTCAAGGAAGTTGTTTTCTTAAACGCGGAAGTAAGGAACAAATCGGTTTGACTAGACGGACACACTGTAATCTTCAAGTTGATTTATACAGTTGAGCCTTGATATCTCGAACTTTCAAAGGAAATGAAAAGTTGTTCGAGATTGCAGGGGGTTCGAGTTATCGGGTTTGGAAAAAAAACTGTGTTTTATGGGCTTCTAGCTGCTAAACAGCCTAAAAAGGTTTCTCTCAATAAGAAAATCAGAAAATAATGTCATTAAGGCACAAAATTTGAAAAATCTTTATAAAGAATTGGGTTAACGTTGACTGTTGCTGACGCGATTCAAATTCGCTTTCACTCATTTCACTTCATTTCTCAAGGAAGGCACTTTGCAGGTATCCAATGCATCTTTAACTTCTTTTTTAAAAGGAGGACAGCTCTCTTCTTCTTCCTCTTCCTCGCCTTCGTCTTCTGTTATGGAGCCCTGACTTTGTAAATTCTCCAAGGATGTCTTCATCATTGATGGTAGCAAAATTCTCGCATTGACTAACCACATTATCGAGCTCTGTAAATTGCTCAGCTGTTATATCTGATAATGCTAACTCTGCATTCCTTTCTCTGAAACTTGAGAGTTCTTCAGTGAGTTCCCTGAACGGATCATCTTCGTCGCTTGCAGCGTATCGTTATAAATCTAGTGATATGCCTGTATTCTTAAAACAGTTGAGGCTTCAATTGCATCCCAAGACGCAACAAGAAGACTCATTGCTTCCAAAATAGTAAACTTTGGAAAGGGTTGCTTACGATCAATTGCACTGATACATTTTTGTACAGCACGCAGTCAATACTTGGCTTTCAATGACCTTATTACACTCTGATATTTAGGTCGGCAAAGTATTGCGTGCTACCCCGTAATTAACATCAACATCGTTTTTAGCAGTTTAAGAACCAACAAACCTAGTTGACAAGTATGCCGTGTGTGTATTGAAAAATGGACATGTAGTGGGTTACTTTGAGAAAGGACAAACTGGAAAATTCGCGAAAACGATCTTCTACTTTCTTCGTGCGGAAGAACAAAGCTCGTGCGTGGTGGTGATACGTGGAAAAGCTGTGAATTTAGGCGGTAAGGAAGGCATGGCAGCTCCTTGTATATTGGAATTCAGTGGAAAAAAACTTTATTGACATTGTTAAGACGTAGTAAATGACCTGTTTGGCGACAAAAAGTGTTCGAGAAAACAAGGAATTCGAGTTAAGCGGAGTTCGAGTTAACCGGAGTTTCGATAGTACTTAACATTATGGCAAATCCAAGGGAAATGAAAGCCAGTTCGAGTTATCGAAGAGTTCGAGATAAACCGTGTTCGAGATATCGAGGTTCAACTATCGAGTTATTTTATGATCACTGCAAAGGAGCAAAAGTGGAAGTGTAAATAAAGCCCCTGTCATTGTGCTTGTAGCTGTCAGTGTGGAAAGGTCTTTGATCAACATCTAGGAAGTTTCCAATTGTTCCTCTCAGTTTATTCCAAAAACTAAAACACCGGACTGAAATTAGTTGGTTCTTAAAAAAAATGTAATGATGATAACGTCACTGGAGATCCTTCTGAATAAATGCCATTTGGCAGGCAAAGACAGCCTTAAATTTTTGTAAGATGAAACCGTTTTAATAAGCCCAGAGGGTGAATACTCCAATTATATGGAGATAACGTCAAAAACCACCGCTCTTGATGTTCCAATGAAAACAATTATTAGCACGGCCAGGTCCAAAATACGGATTTCTTGCTAATTTTCTACGAGCAAAGACCCTGTTTGATGAGTAAGGACCGTTTTCAAGTGTTTCTAGCTACATGTATAGGAAACTTTGAACTATGTTTTTATCATTATCATTGTAAATCATTATCATCATTATCATTTTTTTGTTGCTCTTAGCATTACGAGCTTGACAATACAAATTAGATTAGTGTAGCCATGTGTTTACCGTTTCATAATATAAACTTAGTTAATCTATATAGCCTGACAGTCGTCTGGAAGGTAAAACATGGCATAATCTTTCCTGTAGTTATCTAAAACTCGTTCAAAACCGTTCAACGCAACATCAAAAGCCTCAAACTGCTAAAATATTCCACAACATACCCATCGTCCTTAGAGTGCCGAAATCAAAGGCATCAATATTAGTGTACAATCCGGGAGCTAGAACGAAAAGAACAGCTTTTAATTAATGCGTTTTAAAACAAATGGACCTTGAGTATATGCAAGCTAAAGGTAAAACTGCGATTAATGGAGGGATGGGGAAATACTTCAGTTTGCCATAAAATTTACAGGTAATTTTAAGAGTAAGCAAAAACTTTCACGTTTTTTGTAGAGCAAAATATTGCGTTGGAAAGATTTGTTGTTAATAAAACTGAATCGAACTAAGTTGTAGTAGAATCGAGAATAAGGCTGGCATGAATTGCCTTTGAGTCATACCTGAAGAAACATCGACATCAAATGGAAGAATTATTTCTTCCTTCTTTGTCGATGTTCGTGTTGTTTTAATTCGCACAAATCCAGTATGATTGCCTTCTGCTTTGCCGTGAAATGTCGCCTTCATTATGGCCTTCGTTTCAAAAGGTGGTATCTCCTGAAAATTTTTAACAAATTATTAGCATTTAAATATAAGGGATACTTGCGCATAACAACAAAAACTTTGTTTTCAGTCCCGTGCTTTTCAGCGGTGGAAAAGATTTCCTTATTGGGACCGCAGTTAAGATAACAAATATTTCCTGTACCAAAACTAGCAGAAAGACAACTATCATTGCAGCCATTGGGCATTTGACTACTGTAGGCAATACCACTTTTCTTCGACTTTTACAGAAACTACATGCTGCAGTAAGCTACTATTGTGTATATAGTAATATATAATATAGATAGTAAGCTGGTCTTGTTTACAAAGCAACCAAATTGGTCATTTTGATTCCGTTTTCCACTCGCATTGATTCAAGACGTTTTCCACTCTACATTTTTGATATTATGGTTGATCGATTATGTAATCATTGCCGACTGATTAATCGATTTGTTCTAATACGCGGCCTTGATTTTGAAGATTTTTTCCTTCTGGAGTTCTAGTATCTTTCTGTATCAACTCTGCTATTTGATTTTTTTCAGGAACTTAAAACATTTCCTGGAATCAATTGTCCCGTTGTCCCATACTGTTTTACCCCTGAGTAAGACTTTCAAGGACAAGAAGATCTCCTGTCATTAGGGTACCAGGACTGATCGGAGTTCAAATCCTTTGGAACATGGCTTTAAGGCTCTAATGGTCAATCGATATGCATTTAGGTGTTTCAATCTAATATTGCAAATTTGAGAATGAAAGAATTTCCTCGTGATGATTTTTTATCGCTTCAATCAACTTCCGGTAGAGCCTGATTCAGGGATTAAATTCTCAGTATCACTTTGACAGCTTTTTCCGAGAAAAAAGGCCGAGACGTGAGCTTGGGCATCAAAATGACCAAACAGTAACAGGCTATTGGAATAACTTAACTTTTGAGGTTCAAAATACTGTAAAAAAGTACAATGAATTGTTGTGAAACACATAACAATAATATTTTGATTGATAGCAAAATGTGAATAACCATTGAAACAAACTTAACAACAATTTCGACAAGAAGTGGTGAAAAACGGCGAAGAGAAAGAAGATGCTGAGTTAACAAACCCATATTTTTTGTGATGCATCGTTGCTACCAGTTGGTAAATCAAGATGCAGATCACCTCCACTTGAGTACATTTCTGTCACCTAAAAATTAAGCATATACAATCAATGAAAACTCATTAAAACTTGTAACTGCTTGCAAATAAGTCTTAGAAGTCAAAAAAGTTTCTCGTGGAAATACTGCTTGTTTTGTTTCGTTGATTGTTCAGAGATAAACTGCAGGGAGTTCTTAACACGTCATTCTTAACACATTAACCATCACTTAGCGGTCACCGTTATTGTACCGTTATAAAGCCACTAGATTTTACTATCATGGCATATTGACTATAGCAAAGAACACAAGGGTTTTTTAAAACATCTTCACCCATCACATCTATCACAAACCCACCTCCGAAGTAATACAGTAATACGAAGTAATACGTAGGCCATACCTGTATTGACTCACTGTACGGATTGTACATATTGATATAAGGTGAAAACGATCCATCTACTGGGATTTTTGCACCAATAAATGCTCTAAGTCTGTAAACATTTGGCAGACCAACACCAAATACCTGAAATTGAGATAAAAGCCACTTTAATACGATGTGATACGTTACCAAGGGGGGAATCAAACAATGCAAGGGGGGAACCGCGTTAAATACTACGAGCATGCAAAGTCGCGACCCCCTTCCCCAACGCTAATTTACGCTTTGGTGATTTCGCAGTAGAAATAAAGCTTTTACATTGGTTGGGTCAAGAAAATGTAATGAGATGATACACCAAGGAAATATTTTAATGCTAAATTGAGGAGAGCTTGGGAAAAGCATCCAAGGAATTATGGATTCAGCTCTGAAAATGCTTAGTTTTAGGGCGCTTAAAAGAAACAAGGAGTAGCAAATACTTTGAAGAAATTTTTGCTGGTAACACAGAAAATTTTCGAGTCTTTAGCAATAAAAGATTCTTGATCAACCCTTTACACTAGAGGAACATGACAATTAACTTTTTTTTTTGAATTTTTAGATTGTGAACAAAAAGCCCAAAATCATTTAAATCGGATATAAATTGTCTGAGATATGGCCCCATGAGTACAGGGCTTCTTTCCCATCAAACCAATGGTTCTAAAACTTGAGAAAACAGTAATTCGGTAGAAACTTCAAATCATTTATACGTAATATTTCAGGAAATCAGAGAAATTTTTGGTTGATTTTCCACATTCGCCGGTTCTTAATGATGTTTTTTAAGGTTATGTGGTCAAAAAGTAAAAATTCCTGAAATAGATTTTGAAGACGTCATCAATCTGGCACTCTATATAGAAAGTTTGACGGGAAGTAGAAAGAAAATGCGGAGCAGCAAAAAGCAGAAAGTTTTGTACATCTAACATACATGTAACTTTTATAACGTTGAACTGAAGCGAAATTCAAGGCAGCTTTCCCTTTCGAAAGAAATTTGGATCTCAAAATAGAGTCAATTTGATAAAGCCGTCCTATCCTCTCAGTTTTGCATTTAAAACAGCTTAGACAAATTGAGGATGATTAAAAGAGGATCATGATGATTAAAAAACTTGCAAAGATATCAAACGAATATAGAAACCACAAAACCATTAAAGTAAGACCTAATCAGATGAATATCCTGGTTTGAATTTCATAACAACGCGACCAAGCATAATCTTTCGTTGAGAAATATTACCACTGATTCGAGTTGATAATATAAGTGAAGATTCTGAGTATCGAAATTCATGTTTTTTACAGCTTTCACTTCTCGGCGTCCCCATTTTAGTGATTTTAATACTATTCATAAAACAAAACTTCGTAAAAAGGGATGCTACATTTTCTTAATTCAATACCCATTTACAGGGCAAAACGGACGGGGACTGTCAGTGACAAACATTGGAACCAAGGAGAAAATAAGCTTCCTAGACGTTGTAAAAAGCTAGAACGGGCAACTTCTTGACGGGGAACAGAACCTTTAAAGTGCTTGCCATTCTACGCAATTTTCAACAAAAATTACACAGCTCTTTCCATGACATGACTTTTTTCGAAACAAAATCTCGAAACCACTGGTGGCGCTCAGGGGCTGTAGGTGGAGGAGATACGAAATTCATTAGAAGACGAAAGATAAAGCGACGCACAGCTCAGAAACAATGGTTTTCCTTAAAAATTCACATGTCATGTCGCTACGTAAACCCGAAAACCCACTCCGTTATCGAATTTGCTCTGTTCCCTTTGATCAGCTACATCAATCGTATCATTCATTTAAACCATAACATAAACTTTGGCCTTTGACGTAAAAAATCTATTATTCAGAGATTTGCTATTCGATTCCAGACATAAGAAGACTTTTCATTCCGTCGCAGATAAAAAATTCTTGTCATGTGACTAATTCCAGACGACTTTCCGACTGTCGCATTTTGTCTAATTTTTACGTCACTAGATTGTCGTGGAATAAAATGAAACACGCTTCAAAATGTAGCAAAGATTTCCTGTCAAGTCTTTAATTTCAATCCATTGAGTATTTAGGAATATAACTGACCCTAAACAGCAACCAACGACTTGCCAATGACTCTAAAAACTGGATAATCCCTTATTTGACTTACAAAGAAAAAGGCAAACAATTTCTCAACTTACTTGATATGTAAATTCACCCTTATTTGTACGAATAAAAACGGTATTTTCAACATTGCCAGCTAACCGCGGAAGAAAAACTAATTCAAAGGTTGTATTCGCCAATGGCTCTACAGTCTAGAAGAAAGGAAAAAAGAACTTTTAA